ATGGATACCCTCTGCTTCAACACTCCAATTCTCCTACGACATCTTACATTCAGTGAGCAAAGGAAGGAACCTATCCAGGAGATCCGCCTGGAAAAGGTTCTTGAAGGTCTGAACATGGAAAGGAAGCAGGTATGTTCACTTAGCCACTACAGGTTATGTTTCGAGCTAACGACCCGATCTAGTTTGTTGATCTTTGCATTTTGCTCGGCTGCGATTACCTCGACCCAATTCCCAAGGTCGGTCCCAGCACTGCCCTCAAGTTGATACGCGACCACGGCTCCTTAGAGAAGGTTGTTGAGGCAATGGAGAAGGACCCCAAGAAGAAGTATGTCATCCCTGAGGATTGGCCCTACAAGGACGCACGGGATCTATTCTTCGAGCCGGATGTGCGCCAGGCCGACCATCCTGACTGTGACTTCAAGTGGGAGAAGCCCGACATGGAAGGCCTCGTCAAATTCCTGGTCACCGAAAAGGGTTTCTCAGAGGACCGTGTTCGCAGTGGAGGTGCTCGCTTAGAGAAAAACCTCAAGAGCTCTCAGCAAGCTCGACTCGAGGGCTTTTTTAAGCCGATTCCTAAGACAGAAGAAGAGAAGGCAGCGCACAAGCGAAAGCTGGAGGAGAAGAACGAAGAGAAGAGAAAGAAGGCCAAACAGGAGAAGAAGGACAAGGCAGCTTCCAAGGCGAAGCCCCGAGGTACCAAGTAATCGGAACTTGGACGACGTTCCAACTAAGTAACGAGATGTAATGTACTGGAGGGAAGTACGGAAAAGCCAGGCTACACAGCGGTACCGGCAATGGCGTATTGGAGTTACTAGGCGTGGTACATACCACTTGGGGGCTTTTACCTATGACTGTCATTAGGTACTCAATGGATTTTAAAGAGATATGTATGTTGTGATAAACGGAAGGCACATGAGCAATAAACCAAAACCTCTCGATATCTGCTGGTGAAGACTAGATACATGACGTGAATGATACTGCCTATAAGAAAGAGGACATTCTTGTTTTAGTAGTAAGCTCAAACAAGGACCTCTATGCACTAAGTTAATGTTCTGTAGTAGGTGGACCATCAGGATTGTATATGTGTCGGCTGCTATGCTATTGAGGCTATGTCTGAGAATAAGCTTCAACTAAATGAACCAACCGAAATACCCGCGTTTCAAAGACACATGCAAGTAGTAAATATACGGGACCCCTCCGCATTCCCAATCTAGATTAATTGCCCGTCCCCCACGGGGGTATTCTCTTTGTGAAGCGTACGAGTCGTGAGAAGCATAACCTCGGAGTCTACATTTGGCAATACTCCGTCTCCAATTGGACAGCGGTCAGGTACCTCGGCATCCCCCATATGACATCAACGGTCACAACGAGCATGCGCTAGAGCAATTCTTTGTTACTGCGGCTCCTTCACATGCTTTTTACCGTCGGAATTTATAGCAAAGGCGCATCGCACATGATCTTGGCCATGACCGCATCGAGTAAGTAAATGCCGTGAGAAGCACGACTCATGACCTGAACTTCTGTTCGACGTCGACGGGAGTGTCTATTCCCCAGACGAAGGACAAGGCCCGTTCAGCAGAAACATGGGGGTGGAGCATATCTTACCTCTAGTGCATGTAGTAACTGTATCACTCACTGAACATGTGATTGTAATCCTGCTTCCCAGCTACTTTTTTGCCGAACATAGAAATTATTAAAAAGATCATGTTAAAGGATTTCGATCTTTTCTTCTTCCCTTTCCCTTCTTCCCATATTTCTGTGATATCCTTCCTCTCTTAGTGGTTGTCTTTCCCTTTCCATCGCGCTTCACTATCACATTAACAACTCAACCGCAATCATGTCAAAGACCTTTACCACAAGCGACGTTGCGTCGCATAACAAGCCTGGAGACTTGTACATCATTGTCGACGGCGATGTCTACGACCTGACAAAGTTTCAGGACGATCACCCTGGTGAGTAAACCAGCCAGCATCCCTCACAATGCGCGTTTGACTCGTTATTAGGCGGCAAAAAGATCCTCCAGCGCGTTGCTGGTAAGGACGCCTCCAAGCAGTTCTGGAAGTACCATAACGAGGGAATCCTGAAGAAATACAAGAACCAGCTCCTGGTCGGCTCCCTTGACTCCAAGCCCAAGGCTCCCGAACCCAAACCTACGGCCAACGCGACACCTGTGCCTGCGGCTCCTACGCCCAAGGCCGTCAAGACTGCCGAGAAAGAGGTTGCCGCCAAAGAGGAAGAAGCCGAGGCTCTGGAGCCCTTTGGTGACCAGATTCCCTTTGCTGACCCTGCTTGGTACCAAAGTGTATGTTTAACACGAATAATGCGCCTTCTTCAGTCTAGTGCTTACAATTGTAGTACCACTCACCTTACTTCAATGAATCTCATGCTGCTCTGCGTGCCGAGATCCGTGAATGGATAGAGAACGACATCGAGCCTCATGTCACTGACTGGGACGAGGCCAAGGAGGTCCCCGAAGAGATTTACAAGGAGATGGGCCGCCGTGGTTACCTTGCCGGTCTTCTCGGTGTCAAGTACCCAACTCAATATGCTCCCAAGGGTGGTGTCAAGTCCGTCCCTGCTGAGAAGTGGGATCTCTTCCACGAGATGATCATCACTGATGAGCTGTCACGCACTGGCTCTGGTGGTTTCGTCTGGAACATTATTGGTGGTTTCGGTATCGGTTGCCCTCCTCTTATGAAGTTTGGCAAGAAGGCACTCAAGGACCGCATCATGCCCGGTATTCTCAGTGGCGAGAAGCGAATCTGCTTGGCTATCACTGAGCCTGATGCTGGCAGTGATGTTGCCAACTTGACATGCGAGGCCAAGTTGAGTGAGGATGGAAAGCACTATATCGTCAACGGCGAGAAGAAGTGGATCACCAACGGTATCTGGTCCGACTACTTTACCGTTGCTGTACGAACTGGTGAGGCTGGAATGAACGGCGTGTCTCTGCTTCTCATTGAGCGTAGCGAGGGTGTCTCGACCCGACGTATGCCCTGCCAAGGTGTCCTTTCTTCAGGCACAACATATATCACCTTTGAGGACGTCAAGGTCCCTGTCGAGAACCTCCTTGGAAAGGAAAACCAAGGCTTCAAGGGTAAGTTTTGTTGCACACGAATTTCTTGGGACTTAGGCTAACACACTCTCAGTTATCATGACCAACTTCAACCATGAGCGTATGGGTATTATCATCCAGTCACTCCGATTCTCTCGTGTTTGCTACGAGGAGTCCGTCAAGTACGGCAGCAAGCGGCGCACCTTTGGCAAAAAACTCATCGACCACCCTGTCATCCGTATGAAGCTTGCGCATATGGCCCGCCAAATAGAGGCTTCGTATAACTGGCTTGAGAATCTCATCTACCAGTGCGAGCGCATGGGGGAGACCGAGGCTATGCTGCGACTTGGAGGTCCCATCGCTGGTCTCAAGGCACAGTCTACACTCACTTTTGAGTTCTGCGCCCGAGAGGCCAGTCAGATCTTTGGAGGCCTGAGCTACTCTCGTGGTGGACAGGGCGCCAAGGTAGAGCGACTCTACCGTGATGTGAGAGCGTACGCTATCCCAGGTGGCAGTGAAGAGATTATGCTTGATCTCAGCATGCGACAGAGCTTGAGAGTGGCGAAGGCGGTAGGCATGAAACTCTAAAGAGTTGGGATTAAATGTCTTGTATGAGTACTGCACCTCATTGTGGAGTTTTTAAGTATTTATTGAATATTAGCCATGGCTTGAATATGAGGCCATATACTTGATTTATGATAATATAGAAACAGCCATAAGGTTTTAATTCAGATAGAAGAGAAGCTAGGCTTTATAGCTATACCTTTCTCTCCCAGAAGCTTCTCTGGTTTGGCAGCTGCCTACATCAACGGCAGCTTGTCTTCAATGAATGTCTAACAAACACAAACTATGCCTAGGCATCAGTCCCGCCTAACACATATTAGTCAATGATGGATACCATTTTCTAAAACAAAGATTCAGTATTAAATATTAGGACCGAGCATGTTGTAGTGTATACCCATGAGTGGCCACACGAACCAGTTAAACTGTGAATTTGATGTTGTTCATTCTATGATTATTGGTCAATTGATCCTGGAGGTCATGATAGGCGATACACAATGATACATATTTACGCGTTGGAAGGTTTAATATAAGTAGATGGTCCGTTGACAATCATCAATTAACATTACCGGTGAGCTTATGATCCATTTAAGCCGATACAGCCCTCAGGGATAGCGAATGGAAACTGACACTTTGTTAGTATCCAGTTTATGAGGAGAGATGCTTCATCAACACCCCAATTCCCTACATGCCTTCAATGAACAAGGTTTATATAGCTTGTCAAGTTGATATCTAGAGTTGCGCCCTGCTTTTGTATCTGGTATAACTGATCAAATCAATAAACTTTGCTGCCTTTTGTGCTGTCGCAACTATCTGTCCTTATCTTTATATAAGAAACCTCGGAGTCTTCCATCCAAACATGTTTCTTCTCACAACCTAGCCAACTTTGGCAATAGGAAATTCCCAAGATCGCTCTCCTGTTCTTCAGTTCAGTTCCATCCCGTCTGGTTCAGTCGATGAAATCCGGGCTGCCCCGCCACCACGTGACCGTCTAGCGCAGGGCCTTCCGCCGCAATGAGGCACACACCATCGTCACCTTCACCTTCAAACTGCAAGACTGAGCCTACTCTACTTCTTCCCTCCGCTAAGAACCACACCTCCAAACACTCGACCACGACCAGCAATCTCGATATACGACTTAGATTACGCGCTTGCGACTAACCAAAGCCTTTTTTTTTCATTCCCGAGCCTTCTTTCTCGGGTAGTTCGCGTACCGATTTTCCTCCGACTTCTTTCCCCCCACACAAACCGACGCACGCCTGCAGCTCCTCACCAGCTGCCTTCCTCGCCCCCGATTCCACGAGAGGTCGACCTCTGTGCTGTTTTGCATATAATATCTCACCCTTTACTTTCTTTCGATCCGTAGACGGATCCTATACACGCAATGGCGGATCAGCTAGCAGACAAGCTGAAATCCACCCAACTCAGGTCCGCTGCGCCGCCCTAGCGGCCCTTGTGAGCTTGGACTAACTCGAGCAGTGACGGTTCTCCCGGCGCGAGTGACGAGTGGAAAAAGAATCTCAACCTCCCCGCCAAAGACAACCGACAACAAACAGAGGTACACGCTGTAATCACCTTTTCTGGCGCATTCCCATATGCTGATCTTGACCTCTAGGATGTTACAAACACAAAGGGCCTGGAGTTCGAAAACTTCGCCCTTAAGCGAGACCTGCTCATGGGTATTTTTGAAGCAGGATTCGAAAAGCCATCACCGATTCAAGAGGAATCTATCCCCGTCGCATTAACTGGCCGAGATATCCTTGCCCGTGCAAAGAACGGCACTGGCAAGACAGCTGCCTTTGTCATCCCCACTTTGGAACGCATCAACCCCAAGATTTCTAAGATCCAGTGTCTTATTCTTGTCCCCACACGTGAGCTTGCCATGCAGACCTCGCAAGTCTGCAAAACTCTGGGTAAGCACCTCGGTATCAATGTCATGGTCACGACTGGTGGCACTGGCCTTCGAGATGATATTATTCGCCTTCAGGATCCTGTCCATATTGTGGTTGGTACCCCAGGCCGAATTCTCGATCTCGCTGGCAAGAATGTTGCCGACCTTAGCGAATGCCCCATGTTCATCATGGACGAAGCCGATAAGCTTCTATCCATTGAGTTCACCCCTGTCATCGAGCAGCTCCTGCAATTCCACCCCAAGGACCGACAGGTCATGCTTTTCTCCGCCACCTTCCCGCTGTCCGTCAAGGACTTCTCCGATAAGAACATGGTCAGCCCGTATGAGATTAACCTAATGGATGAGCTCACACTGAGGGGTATTACCCAATACTACGCTTTCGTCGAAGAGAAGCAAAAGGTCCATTGCTTGAACACTCTCTTCTCCAAGCTCCAAATCAACCAATCCATCATTTTCTGCAACTCCACGAACCGAGTCGAACTTTTGGCAAAGAAAATCACAGAGCTTGGCTATTCTTGTTTCTACAGTCATGCAAAGATGCAGCAACATGCACGAAACCGCGTTTTCCACGATTTCCGTAACGGTGTCTGCCGAAACCTTGTGTGTTCCGACTTGCTCACCCGTGGTATTGACATTCAGGCCGTCAACGTTGTCATCAATTTTGATTTCCCCAAGAATGCCGAGACTTACCTCCATCGTATCGGTCGATCCGGTCGTTACGGCCACCTTGGTCTGGCTATTAACCTGATCAACTGGGACGACCGCTTCAACCTTTACAACATTGAGCGAGACCTCGGCACCGAAATCCAGCCTATCCCCGCCAGCATCGACAAGAGCCTCTATGTTTACGAGAACCCCGAGTCGATCCCTCGACCCATTTCAAACCTCCAAAGGGGCCAACTACCTGCTGCTCAGGGTCAGCAGCCTCCTCAACAGCAACAGCAATACCAGCAGCCTCAGCAGATGCAGCAGGCTGGTCTGCCTCAGCAAGGCCAGGGCAACTGGCAGAGCCAGAACCCTCAGCACGGCAATCCGCACTATAACAATGGCGGACGAGGCCGTGGTGGACGTGGACGTGGATATCGTGGCCGCGGTGGCCAAGGCACAGGCGGTCGAGGTCGCGGCCCGCCCCGCGATGTCCAATCCTAATATCACATATACTCATGCATGGCGTTAGGTGGGCGAGAAGGGGGGTTTACGGATGAACTTTTTTCGACATGATTTTTTTTGTACCGGGACATCATTTCAGTTTTGGATTGTACATTATTCGCATATTTTCCGCGAATGGAGAGAACGGCGAAACGGACTTCATTGCCCATGGATCACAACCACTTCGAGACTTTTACCATGGATCCTCACGCAAGGACTCAGAAAAACGGCACAGACCTGCATGGTTCACATGTTCTTGGAATGATAGCCTTAGTGGCTTCCTTGGCTCGAGCCTGTCATTCTGTACCATCCCCATCAGCTTTGATATTCTGTTTGGTTTGGTTCATGATATCTACGGATGATGAATGAGAGCAAGAAATGGAACTTCCAGGGAAAAGGTGTTCTTTAGGCATCAACCACGGTAGACATACCCGCTTTGGGGCTGGCACAGCCAACTGGTGCGGGAAGAAGGGAAATGGAGGTGTTTGAGAGTTGAGGCTTTCGAGGCTTTTCACGCGGATGGCGTTGCCCTCGGTTGCATTGGAGGGCTGCAATTCCTGCGGTTGATATGAACAGTACCTCTGCAGAGCGCATGGGGGATATGATACCCTGACGACGAATCTACGTTAGACGAACGGACCTCATGAGATGGGACGCACTCGGTTAGACGTATTGGTGGATTTGAAGGGGCTTGACGATGCCTGTGGGCAAAATCACTTGATCTTTGCTTGTTCCTTTCTTATGGACAAGATACAGTCTTGACTTGAACAAATTTCGCGCAACAAGATTGAAGGACGGGATAACAAGATGGCTGTAGTTGTGCAGCGCAGTGTTGACAAAACTAACCAAGCGAGAAAAACAACAAAAAAAAACCCAATATTTTGGGAGGGAAAACTGGATGGGCTGGATGGCTTTTGGACCGGCTCGGCTCGCGCTGTTGCATGCACGATGTGTTGCATGATGTAACAACGTTGCTGGAGTTAGTAAGGCATGTAGTCTTTCTGAGCAAAACCGTGAGATACCTCACTTTCCTCTCATATGCACTCCTCAATTCGGTGTGATGATTACCGGTGATATGACGAATATGTTGACATGTGGTTCGCATTTGATGTGGGCATGAACATATATAGGGACCGGAACTGTGAATCATGCTACCAAGAAGCAATGGAGTTCTTTTTGAGCCTGATGTTGCACATCAACGTTCAATGCTCGACTCTTTCAACAACTCATATTAGTTGAAACCGTGAGAAGTTCTGACCAACAGCAATAGCTGAGTCAGCGAACCTGGAATGCAAGATTGCGCAACAGGGTCATGACCATGGTCAAGGTCAGGGCCATGACAATTTCACGCATCGATCAACAAGCTTCATTAGCGTGCAGAGTGTTCCTGAAAATCACATCCTTCGTTTATTCTCGCCTCCTCCAAAAGAACGATAGCGAAAGGCCAAGAGAGTTTAGATGTGGTTCTGGCTTCAAGGGATCGTTGAAGGATTGCGTAAACGGTGGATACTTGAAAGAAAGTAAACACCCACATCTGTCACGGCTCTTTACATTCTTCGCCGACCCCGAGAGGACCGTGCTTTTCAGAATGGCTTGGCAGGGGGCATGTATTATTCATTATGAAGGAAGAGGCAGCCAAGAATACAAGATATATTTTGTGGAGGAAGAGAGCTTGTTCAGAGGAATTCAGAGTTTGATGTGTGAAATGCCGAAGCTTGGCTTCAGGTGTTGGATGTATGGATCAGGGTTAAGAATTTGTATACAGTAACTATATGACTGTGGCCAAGAGTAAGGCAGTGTACAGCATGACAGACAACGTATAATGAAACCTATGCGCATGCGTCTCAGTATTACATATCCGAGCGTAAAAAGAAACAGTCATGGTAATGCAAAGCCGAGAAGCTCATGTTCAATGCAATATCACGTTGATCAACCACATGAGACGGGTCGCCAGCTCGTAGCAATGACGGAATGTGCTAGCGGTGAAGACACAAATGGGACATCAAATGTCTTGGTAGTACCTATGCATCAACAAAAGAGTGGAAAGACAAAGGCGACGATCTTTGTCAATCGATGTTGGTCAAAACGGTAGTGTTGGCGATCAGTTGCCATTCTTTGACTTGTCCGTTTTGCCAGTTTGGTAAGGCTTAGAAACACCACAGATTCATGTTGCCACTTGAATCATTTCGAAAAGCTGGTCTCTCTTGCCCGGTTAGCCATTGCGTTATCACTCAATGGCAACAATTTGCTGTTCACGAGAATGAAATTGACAATAGCTGGATATGGGGGAAAGCGGGTCTCCCCGTGGCAGTGCAGCTAGACGGTGCCTGGGGTGATGGATGTTGACGGGACGCTGCAGATGACGGGAGGCTATTGGGGTGGGGGGATGAAGGAGAACTCTCAATTTAGAGCACAAGAATGTCTAGTTGTACATCAGCTCTACGTGTATCTAACAATAGCCATTCCTTTGAGTTGGAAGCTCTTATAGCCGTTGTGGATGGTAAGAACAAGCCAATGCTTATGGTTTCACATTGAAAGACAAGAGCCGAGATGGAAACTCCTTACCCACAGGTCGAACCTGGAATGATACGGGCATTGTGACAAGGATTGCATTGACAGAAGAGATGATTTCTTTTTTATGAGAGACAGTCAATTTGATAACTTCGTTCGGTCATCAAGTTTAGTTGATCAAGACATAGTAGCCAATAATTAATTTAACCATCCTGTGCTGTTTAATATCTAAGCTTTGGTCTATTCCAAATTGTTCTACAGATACTGAGCAGGTGAACGAGATAATCAAGGATAATGGTCCCATACGAGCAACTGTTATTCTCATTGAATCCTTTCACTTGCACCAAGCATTTCATTTCCAATATATGCGTATACTATTGTATCGATGGCGCCGTGTATTTTCAATATCACTTGAACCGTACCTGTAAACATCAAGAGCTAGACGCCCATCCTGTAAGCCACTGTCGGGTGTCAACGCCGTCTGCCAAGCCTAGGACAATGGATGCCACGCAAACCCTTTCAGCGGGCCTTTGGATGAGTTGGTTGGCTCAAGCTTGAGGTGCATTGCTACAGCAGGTGGAGAGAGTCATTAGAGTGCTCTTAGATACGCTGTGCCCAGTAAAACCAGTGACAGTCTACCGGGGGCTCATATCAGCCGGAATCCCGGATCCCCCCAATCCCCTTCCTGCCCCTTCTTCCTTCTACAGGACGCCTCATTTCCAGTTTTAGGTACATGCCAGGCAAGTCAGGAAGGAGCTGCACAAAGATTCCAGGGAACACCCGTCATTTTTTTCCAACCCGAATTTCTCCCAGCCTCACCACCACCACCACCACCCTCTTGTTTCGTCTCCCTCACCCAAACTAATTCGACAGCACATTACTCCAACGGGAACCAAGTAGACTACGAAACCTGTTCCCTCATCCCATCACATCTCAATCATCCTCATTCATCACCAACAACCAATCCACTCCGGTTGTTTGTTTATCGCAACTTAACGTTATCGCCTGCCAACTTCCCCCCCAAACGCGGTGTCCCTGCCCTGTCCATTGGCCGACCCGCCAAGCTTCCCCCCGTGCGCCCAGCCAGCAAGGCCCTCGATCCAATTTCCCTCTTGCCTCTACCGCCCATCGTTACAGCAGCAACGTTGATACCCAACACAAAATTAGCAAGAGCAAAGAATCGCGACCGGATCCTAGGGAAAATAGACACTGGCGACACATCGACGACCTCTCAAAACCAAGCTACCGATTAATCTCGAAATAGCATCACTTTTTCTTGCAGCATCTACTGTGTCAGCACTCGCTGGTCTTGGCTTCCAGCGAGTTCATCAGGATTCCTCTCGAAATGCCATCGTTTCTTCCCGATCAGCACAATTCGTCAATTTACAACAACAACCCCGACATCCTCGACCTTGATCCCACGAACCAGTTCGGTCTTGCGAATAAGGAGAGGGTGAATGGGGGTTCTATCCGCCACGCCCGATCCGACACCATAAATGAGCGTTTTGACGAGAGCTCCATTTCTTCTACACACGCGTCCGAAGTTTCCGACTCTACACCGGCGCATATGAATGGCAACAGTAACAGTACACGGCCTACGAGCATGAGCTCTGTTTCTAATGGAAAGTCAGCTACGGCTACTCGCCCTTCCCGACACAACGATGACGCCGAAGTCGACAACTTTGGGCAGAAGCCCACGTTGAACGGTACCACAAACCTTGCCGACCGTACTCGCCATCATTTCTCCGATGTCAATGGCATGAATTCTAACACAAACTCCACTAATAACCATCAACATTATAATAATCTATCAAAACCTCTTCCATCAGAACCTCAACAGTCAGAAGAGGTTTCTGAAAAACCCCAGAATGGAGGTATTGATGGAAACTCACTACTCCCTGCGGAACCACGAGGCTCCCACACCAACACAAACCTCGATGCGGCGCAGACAGTGCCGGCTCGTACCAATGGCGCCCACAGATTGTCATCCCCACCAATCTACAACCCTTCGAGCGCGGCAGCGTCCTCAACAGGGCATCTCCAAGCACCTCCACCTGGTCTTAAGCAACGACATACTCTCGATGTGCCCAAGTACGTCCCAGGTCGTGCATCCAAGGACGGCATGGACACTGCTCAGGCTAGCGGCCGCTTCTCTCCTACTAATGCCGGAACCCCTAGTGGCCGACGTCCTTCCTTGAGTATGGGTCGAAGGCCAACCCGGTCAATGCAGTCAGACGGGCCTCGAGATGAGATCGTGCCGGACGAGGATGCGCTCCGCTGGGCAGAGGCTTTGCGACAAAAGCGTGCCAGCAAGCGAAGGAGAAAGGAAGAGGAGGACGATGATCGAGTTCTTGTCGGTACCAAGGTTGACGAGACTCATGCTAACTGGGAGACCGCCTACAACATGCTTACAGGCATTCGTGTTTCGGTTTCGAGAACGAATGCTAAACTCGACCGAGAATTGACAGATGCCGATTTTGATACTAAGCAGAAGTCGACATTTGACATTGCCGGTAATGAGCTGGTACCGTCCGCAAAGTACGATTTCAAGTTCAAGGACTACGCTCCTTGGGTTTTCCGCCGCCTCCGATCTCTTTTCCATCTCGACCCAGCCGATTATCTCATGTCGCTCACCGGCAAGTACATATTGTCCGAGCTTGGCTCTCCCGGCAAAAGTGGAAGTTTCTTTTACTTCTCAAGAGATTACAAGTATATCATTAAAACCATTCACCACGCCGAGCATAAGTTTCTGCGCAAGATTCTCAAGGAATATTACCAGCATGTCAAGGACAACCCCAATATGCTTCTTTCACAATTCTACGGCCTCCACCGCGTTAAGATGCCGTATGGCAAGAAAATCCACTTCGTTGTAATGAACAACCTCTTCCCCCCGCACCGAGATATCCACACTACCTTTGATCTGAAGGGATCTACCATTGGTCGAGATTACCGGGAGGAGGATCTGGAGAAGAACCCCCGTGCAACACTGAAGGATCTCAACTGGCTCAGGCGGCAAAGAAGCCTGGAGTTGGGCATTCAGAAGAAGCGCATGTTTCTGGAGCAGCTGCAACGAGATGTCGCTTTATTAAAGCGACTTAAGATCATGGACTACTCATTACTGGTTGGCATACATGACGTCGCACGAGGGAACGAGGAAAACCTTCGCGACAAGACGCTTCAAGTATTCAACCCTGGTGGTGAGAAGTCTCCTGACGATGAACCTAACTCGGTTCTTCTTCGCACACCATCCAAGCTGGAGAACCAACGCAAGGCCAGGGAGCTGCGACAGATGATTCGCCAGGAGCGACCAGTACCCATGGGTCAATCAGCGAACAAGATGCCAGATGAGCTGCAAGAGGGCCAGCATCGTCCTGGGTGGGTTTTCGGGCAAGATGATGGCGGTTTTAGGGCAACCCATGAAGACAACACACCGGGGGATGAGATTTACTACCTCGGAGTCATCGACTGTCTCACTCACGTAAGTTCTTGTCCGACGCTTAGAACATACCCAACTGACATATTTTAGTATGGAATTATCAAGAAGATCGAGCATTTCTGGAAGGGCTTGTCCAGTGACAAGACGCAAATCTCGGCTCTCCCACCCGACCAGTATGGTGACCGATTCTACCATTTCATTGAGGGCGTCACCATGTCGACCGAGGAAGCTCACAGGGAGGCCGAGAGGAGACACCAAGAGATACTTGAGGCGCAACGCTCGGAGGCAAGGGTCTCTAGTTGGAATTCTCGTCGTAGGTCATCTCAACCCATTCCTCCAGTCCCAAGTCATGGCCCTCCCCCACCACCCGGTCCGCGATCTCCAGAAGCGCGGGAAACGGTTGAGAAGGCCAATAGGGAGGCCGAACGTTCAGAGAGACATGGCCACACCGAGGACCAAATACCAGATCGAGTTTTGTCTACTGGCACTCTCAAAGACACTCGCGACTCGCTGCAGCACGAGCCTATTCTTCCTGTGGTGCAAGAGGCAGGCGAGAACGGGCGCGATGATAGTGAGATCCGGCCTTTGACACTCCCCAAGGACCTCAATAAAAGCCTCCCACCTACTAGAGCACCACCACCCACTCCTCCTAAGCCTGGATATCCTGGAGCAGGAAGTGCCGATAGCGGATATGCAGGTTTTGGTAATGGCACGGCCCTGGGCAACAACGGCTATGCGTCTCAACAAAGGGTTAGCATTGACAGCCTTAACAAGGAGCTGCCTCCACTACCGAGGAAGGATGGCACAGACAACAGTGGCATACGGATGGTAGCTTAGGTTGCAACCACAACCTAATCATGGTTGTCCAGGAGGACAAAAGACGGGATCACGATTAAGAAAGCGAATGACGCAGATACACAAGGTTGACGAGCGATGGAACCATCGTCAACCACCAATGATGCATTAGAAAAGCGAGACACCTGGCGACCACCCCTTGTTCTGGTCCTTTCCTTAACCAGCCATGCATGCACTATTTCCTTTTTGTTTTTATCTACACCTTTTGCATACTGGACTCGGCCTATGAAAGCAAATTTCTATTTCAATTTCATTTCCTTTGTCGGCGACGAAACAGAGAAAGAATCACTGGGGCGGATAGTGAGCCGGCTGCGTCAAGTCGCATCGTGGAGTACGACAGCACAGCACCCGTGGGAGCGAGTGCAGATATCGGTTCTTTATTAAGAAAAAAGAAGAAGACATGGATGATACCACCACTTTTAGCACGCTGCAGTTTGTTTTTGACACTATTGTCACTCGGTCGTTATTCAATTCTTCACTGGCCCGGCCTTTTCACATGATTATTCCTTCTTGTCGTATACTTATTGTCGTTTCTCGTTTGGTTTTCATCAGCTAGCTGGGCTTACAGCTTGCACATGCAGGGGTTTAGGTAGTAGGAATTGATAGATCTGGTAGGATAAAGACTTGAGCTGTCTAATCTGGAAGGACGGGAATGAAGGGCGTGGTGAAGCAGTGCATTAATTGTACATGTAGGTGTGAATTGGTGATGGTGCGGTAGTTTACAGTGGTATAATACAATATGTATAACAAATGGCCCTTCTTTATGAAGTCTTTTCCGTGTCCGTTGCCTCGTCCATAATTTTGAGTTGTCCAAGAAACCACTCGTTCTTGAATCTGACCAAACCATTTATTTCTTTTTGTTCAACATGGCCTGAATATCATCCACGCCCTTACCCTTCTCCCCGGCACCACCCTCAGGCGCGAAGCTCGTTGTGACCGTCATCTCCTGGGCACCCTGCGCTCTCAATTCATCCAGGCGTCGCTTCTTCTGGATATCGGCTACTCGCCACTGCTTGAAGTACTTGACCCAAGCAGCAGCGCAATCCCGTTCAAAGTCTACCGTCTCTGTCGGACAAGCGCGTTTAGTGGCTGAAGGGTCCTTGGTAGCGTCGACAATATTGTTGGCGTCGAGACAGTTGAAGTAGGCGTCGCGAGCGGCCCAGCAGATCTTGCGCTCTTGACGGTTGGGAATGGCGTCGCCGGAGCGGATGGCGTCGCCGCGGGTCTCGCCTGAGAATGGCCACAAACCCATGTTTTTTTTTGTTTTTGTTTTTTTTGCGAATTTTCTTTGTTGTTTGTATTTGTTTGTATGGGTTCGTAGAATGAGGCTCAATTGAGAGCTTGAAGTGTAGCTGTAATAGCGGGACAGATGGTACGGAATTAGTTGGAGTTTATGGTGGCTCAAAATCTCATAACTACGGTCATGTTAGCTCCAATCGAGGTATGACGAGTGGGAGCGGCAGAAAATGACGGGCGGTGGGGCGCAACAGGTTAGTGAATGATACATTCCTCGTTTCAGGGTATCTACAGCTGCTGCTAACTATCTGTGGCTGATGCACTTTAATCTGTCCTTTGATCTACGCAACCTCCTTGCTTCAACTCTACTTCATTTCCCTCCTTTTGAACCCTAATTTTGGCTTTTTTTTAATTTTATTTTTTAACTCTTTCTTTCTCAGTTTAAGCCCTTGTGTTTGGAAAGGTTTTGTAATCACAAAAGGGCAGAAAGTCCAAGGAGAAAGAGTTGGAAAGTATAAGCTTGAGCTTAAAGGACGGGCACGCATCACAAGACCTCACGAGACATGCCCTTTCGATGACCAACGCCTCTTCCACGCTGCGATAAGAACTTACCTTCAACAACACCACAACCACCACCCTCGAACAGAGAAACCACCGAGAACACAGGATGCCGCGTCGTCGTAAACCCCCGCGCGCAGGCGCACTCGCAGAGCTAGCGCCACTCAAGATCGCAGGCCAGATCGCGACACTACAGGCCATCTACTACTTCGCCGCGCTTGTCCTCATCGTCTTCACTGCGCTTGTGTCAGGATCTGGTTTTAGTTGGACCCTTGTATTTGGCTGGGAGGGCTTGAGAGGAGATACAACACATGGGTGGCTCATGTCTTTTATTTTCTTGTTGGATGGAGGCTTGATTATGTGAGTTATTCCCTTATACTTCGAAAAGAAGCGCAAGTTGCGGTTTCGATATCCTGGACACGGTTACTAACTTCACTCTGTAGCTCCATTGCAATAGTCGCCCTCATCGCTCGCTCCAAACTCGTACCGGATTTCGCCATAACCGTCCATTTTATCCATCTCGTCATCGCATCCCTTTACAGCGGCCGCATCCCTCGACACGGAGGCTGGTGGCTCACCATGATCGCATCAGCGACGATCTCTGTCAGCCTGGGCATCTGGGGCTGTCAGTATCGCGAATTACAACCCGTCTTCTTCGGCGGCCGTCCGATCCTCCCTGCCGTACCTGCATCGGTTGATGGCTCTGCGACGCAACCTTCTACTGTGGATGAGGAGATGGCCATCCCTTCAAGGGGGAGAGGCAGAGATGGTAATGCGGAGTATGAAATGGAGCCTATGCTACCTCTGAAATGAGTTTGATGGGACCTGTTGGATATGTTTGAACAGACATGCATTGCTTGGCGTTTGGGCGCTCTTTACACGTTTATATACGTTAATATGGAAGAGCTCACTCTTGAAAACATGTTTTAAAGTTGTACCTCTCTCGGATGATATCAGTCGAGGCAACTGCAGGGCCAATATGATCTTTTGAAAAGGAGATGGTTCAATGTGATAAATGTTTTACACATAAGTCTGGTGTTACCCAGTTAGCTGGCGTGAATATCACTTGTATGGATCAAGTAAACCCCGAAGTTTAAAGTAAAGAATCTCGCGTAAAAGTGTAGAAGACCTGGCTATCTGAGCCTCTTGTTGACTCTGTCTCAATTGTACCTAATGTAAATCTCTAATCCCTTATGGCTTGCTTAATAACCAATTCTTGTCTCCAGAGAATGCACCTCTGTCTGAACATCTTTCGTAACGGAATAAAAACTCGCATGGCCCATCGATTTCGCCGCTTTGATTGTCTATATAACCGCTTTTCTACCAATATCAGACCACGTCATGGGCGTTCTACGCGCCGGCCACAACCGCCAAATTATCGTATATCATCTTGCGCACCTCATAGAAGGTACTTCGCCGAGCGGTCGGCATGCCCACACTCTCAACTTCGACACGACCTGCAGACGTCTTGCGAACGGCGACAGTGCCGTCAACGACCAGTGTGCCCTCACCACGGAACTCCGCCGTGTGGCCGGCGGACTGCATGGCGCGACGCAGATCGGCCAGGCGGAGGTCACCAACGTGTAGTGGTTGGGCTGCTGAGCGTACAGCAGAAATAAGGTTCGCGGGGAGAACATCGAGGACAGGTGTGGCCGAGGGGATGGCTGCCGCCGTGTTGGTTAGGGTAGTCGATGAGGGGGGCTCTTCGGTCTTTTGTCGCTTGTTGGCGATGTCCTCATCGGCTGCTGCAGCTTCGTTGAGATGTGTGGCAAGAAGCTGTCCTGTAATAGTGACAATGCCTAGACCACGAACGTTCTGCCACTTTATCTTTCTGACTAGAGGATCTGCCAGCTTGACAACCCAGGCGTTGGTGTCAACACTGGCGTCTATAACGACGCCAACCTCAGGTGTATATACGTCAACGGAACGTTCACTGCTAGAGTTGTCTGGATTGTTCTTGTCAGCTCCCAGTGCTCGACGGCAATCTTCGGCAAGAGCAAGTGTCTCGTCGCGTTCGCCACCGACAAGAATGAGCTTTCGGGGTTGAATAAGGGGGATCAACATGTTAAGACTTCGCTTGTCGTGCAGACCACTGAAGTCAACATAAGCGATGCGCATGTTGGCCTGTACAGTCTCGGTCTGGTATGACAACTTGCATGGTCCTACAGGCTCTTCGGTTTCAACATCCTCAACAGTGTCGAGTTCATCAGGAACGAAGCCGTCACCTGCTCCAGCCTCTTCGCCATCGTGAGAACCAGCCCGCATGGCTTGCGGTCGCTTGTTGACACCAGTGCCGCTTTTTGCAACATCGTCCCATCGACGCTTCTTGCCGAGTTTGTCATCAGTAGCCTCAATGTTGGCGCTGTCTTGACCATCTTCCTCTTTCTCCTCGGCACGAAGATAGTCTTCGGGGCGAATAAGTTCTCCAAAGTCGTCTTGACGCTTTCTGCGGATGGCGATAGGGAATGTGCGTTCTCGGCCCTTCTTCCCCCGGGAGTCAAAGTCGTATACACCCTTCTTCTTGATAAGCACATTGATGCCGAGGTCTTCATCTTTGAGTACAACATTCTTGCGACCGGCCTGGGCAATGGCTGTCGACACGTTGAGCGCTTTGCCCTGCTGTTCGCCGTCCTCATCTTCCGAGTCGGACGAGGATTCGGACGAAGCATCGTCCACAACATCTGTTGCTGCCTCGAGTCCTGCCGCGCCTCCACTTTGTTGGGTTGCTTGAAGCTGCCTTTGAGTGGCAAGCCATTGCTGGTAGAGTGCCAACTCATCTCCTTCTAAAGCATGACGTTGGGGTTCGCGGATCTCCAGTTCTCGTCCGCCGGCGTAAACGAGCTCAATATTCTCTCCATTGCTGTTTTGCTCCACTGATACGCCGTCTTTGCGCTCCTTCCACCAATCCCACAGTGTTCTTGCGATAGACGGCTTGTCATTCTTTGACAGGCCTGGCTTGTCTGTTAGAATGACCAAGTTCCTTGAATCTTGTGCCAATCCCTTGATCAAATCTTTAGAGAACCCCCATTCTATGCTGCTGTCGCTCGCTAGAATAACGCGACCTTCTGTCCCAGCGTTCTCGACGTTTTGACTGAGTAATCGTGCAATCTGAGCCTTCCTTTCGAGTAGTCGTAGATATTTGAAGTCGAATGGACCACCCTCCTTCTTGCTGTTTGCACCATTGACCCTTCGTTGATCTTCAGCGAAAGCTTCGAATTCCTGCACGATACTGTCGTCCATCCACTCAAGCATACTTCGGGCATATCGCATAGTGCTCGACATATTTCGGCCGGCAAGATACAGCTTAGCTGACCTAAGCACACCTCCCTCGGAAGCAGCATCGGTTCTCCAGGCATGTTCCAAAAGGTATGAAAGCTCCAAAACTCTTGCGCTCGAGTCCACAGGAATCAGCACTGTTCCTCCCCGTGTGACGCATGCCTTGATAGTGTCGATGAGCTGCTCATCTCGCTTGGTACGGCCTCCAGGCTGTGCAGTTCGGTCAGCACCACGACTGCTGCAGATCAGAGCGGTTGGTTTTCGCAACTGCTCAATAACTTCAGCGCCACCGCCTCCAGCTCCTCCCAGCCAGGCTGCACCAGCAAAAACGTTCTCGCGTGCTTGGTTCCAGTCCACCGCATACACGATCGATTCGAGGCCATGTTGGATATGCCATATTGTGCCGCCGAGGGTGTGTCCAGAATTATACGCGGTAATCGTTAAACCGTTGAGGGGCGGCGAGAAGGGTGACGGTAGAGGTTGATGAGGTTGCGAGTATTTGAGGGGCTGGATGAGAGAAAAGTAACGGGCGATCTCTTCGTTATTCGGCGATTGGAGAAGGAGGTTCTGCGCGGTTGTAGCAGTTTGGGTAAGTGAATAGGCACTCTCGGTGAGTGAGCTTTGGGGAATTGTTGTCGCCGCGGCGGGGCTCGAAGTATATAGGTCTTGAATAAGGGTGCGGCCGAGGTCAATAACAGGCCTTGTCGCATACACGGGGATGCGCGTGAACTGGGGAATGTTCTTGCAGCAATGGGCGTAGGCGGCGAGATGCGAAGCTGTCGCATGTGTAACGAGAATTAGAGATAGAGTGGTGACTTGTCTGGAACAGAAATGTTAGCAATCGCCTTGACCAAGAAATGCGCAGTAGGGCATACTTCTCAATTTCTTTGAGCTTTTCTACGTCAAAAGTCTCGTCCCATCCGAGATCAACCAGCACCTTGACACCCCCATCAAGCTCGAGAAGGGATTGTGAAGCGGACGAATCCGACAAGGCGCCCTGAAGCGGACAGAAGGTGAACATGATGATACCGACGCAATGCGATTATAGCAAGGATGACGGAAAGCCCAATTGAAGATAAGGTCAAAATCGAGTCAGGAAGGATATAGAAGTTATATCGATTGTCGAAGCATGATTATCAAGCAGAGCAAAGTCTGGATTGAAATAAAAGCAAGCAGTGTAGCAAGATGAAATGGTTTTTGCAGCTATTGGTATTGCATTGTCCCTCTATTGATGCGGACAAAGACAATTGCTAGGTCGTCGCGATGCTTGATTATTCTGGCTATTGATGCGCGTAGCACCTGCAGCTGTCAATGCGCGATCGGTGCGGCGAAACTATATTCCGACTTACACGCCATAAATGCGTTTACAGATGGATGCACGTAACGATAGTTGATAAGATGCAATGCTTGATCAAGATTAGATTTGCTGTCACAATACTCCAAATCTGTCATATTCATAAATCATACGTATCCTTTCTAGGAAGTTATATGTGCATTTAAGCATATAGTGCATACAGGAAGGACCGATGGAAATAACCTTGTACTCAACAAACATGATGCTTTTTCGAAAGAGGACAATTTGATGGCATTCTCCTCAAAGTTTGGTAGCTTCGAAAGAGGACAATCGTATTCATGAAAATACCGAATTCCTTTTTCCTAAGCGCCCCTTTCATAGTATTTTAAATCACTGCGTAGATTCACGACACACCCAACAATGACAGCTCCCTCATCCACACCCCACAGGAAGATCAAGTTTTAGGCTTCAGCAATAAAACAAGAAACCATGTAACTATTCTGTGGTCCCTCTTCCTTCGGTTTATCCTCTGACGCGGCCATTTCTCATGATATCCCTTCAACTAATCTCTTTCAAGGAAGAGGTCAGCACGCCAAACTTCATAGTCAGGCATCAGGGTACCACAAAAGTTGGCCGCCAGGAGCATAAGGGACTAAATTACTAGGCCACTTTATAATGCTTAGACTGTACTTCTTAGGTTATTTATTTTTGTCATCTAAAGCTCAAAGGTCAATTCTTCTGCTACCCACTAGTCAGGCAAGTGGGATGTTTCAGCTAGGTTTAGATACATACCATATAACTATACCTAAAATTGGGATTTGAACTGAGCTAGAATGCCCACTGATCAGCTAGAGTTGGCATTTCACTGGTTGTGGTGGAAAGAGCCGCTATACTGTACCACACCCTGGCCGGCATCTCGGCATCGTCAGGCTGACGCGGCCCTTGGTGTTGAGTGACTACGCGGCGTCTAATGCTAAGACACAGACGGATAAACGGGAATGAGATAATATTCTGGGGTTGATAACAACCTTAATTCTACTGTAATTCTACCTCACGGTGCCGTTGTGCCGCCCCTGACATACACAGCCGCGTACGCAGTGTATTCAGTCTGGCCTGACTTGCACTCACACCTACACCCTGTGACCAAACGTTACATCACACAACAAAGATAATGAACAAAATTTGACCATGCACTTCTGATATTACTCAGTAAATCTATGTACATGACCGGTGCCTTTAAGCTACCCAGATAGTAATGACGCATAAACACCATTGAACCATGATGATCCCATGTGGTCCGTCCGAAACACCAGTTCATTCATTCCTCTCCCATTCCTTGTCGTGAAAAAAACAAACGCTGAATTTGACCGCAACAAGCCCCTTTCGCTGTTACCCCTAGAAATCAAGACGCCGTAACGATGCATATGATGTGTACAAACAATAACCCCCATGTAATGCAGTCCCCAATTTTAGCCTCCATATCATTTCGAATCATCATGGAGTCGAGTTTCGACGACTACGCATGCCCTGCTCCTTCTTCTAGATGCAGAACTTGCGATCCAACATTCTCAGGGCTCTCGCATCCTCGCTGACGCCACCCTTCTCAAGGCCGCAGGCAGCAGACGCTCTAGGGCTGCTGGCGGCACTACCAGGCTTGGCACTACCACTCTCGCTGCTGGCGGGAGTATGATGAAGCACTGCGTGAAGGGTAGAGAGACTGGACACCTCAGAACGAGAGTTTCGAGTGGGGCTAACACTCATGGTTCTGCTGGGAGGTGTGCTGATTGCTGCCAAGGACGAGCCAGGGGGACCGTTGGTCACCGCCCCGAGACTTGGTAGAGCTACTTGGTGAGTGTGTGAAGCACCACTGGGTCGAGCATCAACCATGGCGCTTTGTGCAGCTGCCTGGAGATGTTGCTCGCGAGGGGACTCGTGTGCTCTGGGAAGAGCCATGTGCGGGTGGTGAGGAGACTTGGCCGTTAGGGGAAGAGGAAGAGGAGCACCACGGTGCTCGTAAACAGGTGCCTGGGGGTAGTGAGGAAGAGGTAGGCCTGGATGGCCAGCGTGAGGTAGGTATTGTTGAGGGACATTGGGAGGGTAAGGAGCGGCGTAGTGGCTGTAGGGAGGAGTAGCAGCGGGGGAAGGAGGCCAGCCATATCCATGCTGAGGATAGGCACCGTAAGGTTGTTGGTCAGGCTGGGCCATATAAGGCTGTTGCATGGGGGCACGAGTGAGAGCGGGAGTGGTGTTGGCCTCGCCCATGCTAGACTCGGGATACATGCCCTTGACAGGAGTGATACCTCGTAGCGCAGGGTCGTTTGTTGGTTGCTGAAGCTCAGGCTGACCAGGCTGTGGGCGAGAGTAATATGAGATGAGGTGCAGGTGTTGGCCGCCAGAGGTGGTGATGCTGAAAGACTGCTTCATGAGACCATCGGCCTTGTATCGGTATCCCTCAGGCTCTGCGTCATCCAGATCCTCATCGCTACCACGTCCAGAGTCTGGGGTTTTACCAGCACCTCTTCGGTTTGTGTTAAAGCCTCCACCTCGCTTGCCCTCCATTTCGCGGTATGTGAGAAAGCTTCCCGAAACTCGACTGGCGCTCCATGACTTGCCGTCAGTCCATCTTCTCATACCGGCTTCCCGCTCATCCCAGACAAAAACAGAACCAGATCGAATTGATTGTCTCTCCTTCTCCGAAAGTCGTCGTTGCACACGGGGCAAGATGCCTAATCTACAGGCTTCAAAGAGTCGAATAGCATCGGCGGGTGTCCGCACATAGCCGTGGTACGTTTCCATTGTGAAGGTGTGTAACGTTGTTGTGATGTGAGGTTAATGTTGTTGTTATTGGTAAGTAGAGAGATAGGTACAGTCCGCACAGGGGCGGGAGGAGGTCAAAAAAAGAAGAATTTTGGGTAAATGGATCCAGTGCCTTGGTAGGTCGTCAGCGTCCTTATAAAGAAGGGCCTCGTGAGAACCAAGCTCAAGCTTGTACGCAGTGCCCCACTAGATCAGATCGGGCCCAGGGCGTGGGAGTACAGTAAAGGTATGGATGGGTGTGGTTATAAATGTTGTAGGTGTGTAGACGCGAAGATGCGAATGTGACTCCACAAAGGCTGATAGCTCAGCGGAATTTTGTCCACGTCTCCACTTTGAAGAAGTGGACTGGTCTTTGACCTTCTTGGCGTTGCTGAGAACGTTGATTTGGGGCTGATGAGGCAAGGCAGTAGCCAAGCGGGCAACGTGGTAATCGGGTTTGAAGAGGAGATAGGTGACAGCGCTAGTCAGATTTGTCAGTTTAGAAGCAGAAGTAGAGTAAAGAAAGATATTCTGATAGTGTAGCTGTCGAGAATAAACAGGAGAAAGGTAAGAGAGAATTGAATTGATCAAAAGGTGCGAGTTGTACACCGTTGATCATACATATATAATTCCCAAAACAATGTGGTAAAGGACACTTCCAGGGGTTTGATGCTCAACTCCCTGACGGGAGTGCCGTCGGAGCCGATTAAGTCGAGGATCCACTCGACTAAAATTTCCCTGAGATTTGAATGTGTACAGTACTTTACAGTATTGCCGCTTGGCCAATGTTCCATCATGAATTGCAGTTGCAGTGCAGAGAGTAGCCATTAGACTGCTGCCAGCCCGTACTGTAGCGATTCAGACACAGCTCTCAAGAGGCCCCAGAGAAGCGCCGTTGGACCTGAGCACAACGGTCCCACGAGTGCATCCAGGACACTTGATCCATGCACCAAACCGCCTCACCCAGGAGGTATTGCGCCGAGTACCAAAATACAGAGAACACAAAATCTGAGACGGAGACAAACATACCTATCAAGGAGAGTAGCGGCTCGCTGCGTTTGTCGTCGAGTTGGTGAAACTGTTGATCTGCTACAAGAAGCGAGTTTGCAAAAGACTTTAGACGAGGTAAGCAGAGTGTATTATTTAACCGTGTCCTCGGTCGAGACGGAAAGGTAGGGAGGGCTAAGAGCAAGCAAGATAAGGTTGCAAGTGTGTCTTGGAGGTGTGCAACACCGTAATTAGGCACAGTACTGTAAAGTCGGTGCTGGATAACTCGGCGACAACTTTGTGGAGAAGAACGGAGGACGGCAAAGAAGGAGGGTGTGAAGGATTGCTGGGGGTGAGACAAGAGTGAATCCCAAGGTTAGTTAGGACAAGCTTTTGAAGCTGAACGCCCCCCCTCAAGGGGCTTTTTAGGGAAAGATGACGATGCAGGGCCAGCCAGGGCAAGGTTGCGAGGATGGAAAGGGCATGATAGGCGCGAAACTGAGGGAAAATGCATGACAGATCACGGCTATCGGATCAGTTATGTAGATGAGGAGAGCATGGGGAATGGAATGAGAAGCCGAAGAAGCCAGTAATATCGTATGATGGCAACAATTGCCATAGCGTAGAGAATATCTTTAGGGGTCTCAAAAAGAAGCTCACCTTGCCGTACGATAAGTTCCGTCACACGCTGGCGCTGCGGTGAAGCTGGGGTTGATGTCGATAGTTCGGGGCCGAACTGGACAAGAGTTAGTAGATAAGTAGATAGAGAGTCTGGAACTCCAAAGGCCTGGTCTACCTCGTCGCAGCTGTATCTGCCGTAACAGTAGAAGTCGTGGGGGAGGCGCTCCAAGGGCGATTCGATAGTTTGTTTCTTGACGCTTCGGTGCGCCCGGCTGACCGGCTTGCCTATTTTCTTTTTGGAAGGTACGGATGAGTATAATTAGAGGCACAGGAAAGGAAAGGGAAGAAAAGCTCTAGGGGCCGTGTTTCCGTTTTTTATAAGAGACGCGTTGTTAAAGTTTTGATCAATGTAGGCGATAATGAGAGAGATCAATTAACCATATAATTAGAAAATAGCATTTTATCGTCGGATGCCACAGACTCTATCCAGGAACAGGTGATGCCACCAAAACTCAGTTGCTCGCCAACCGTTTCAGAAAAGCTGCATTCTTGTCCAACCAAAAATCCCAACATTACTTGTAACTTTACAGAATTCGCCTCAAGAGATATTGTCGTTTGGTTTGCGTTGGTGGTTACCCAGCGATGCATAACTTTGTTTACCCCATGCAGCACGCCAAGTATTAACCAAGATAACCATAAAGACTAATACCATTCCTTTATCCGCATACATGCAAACTTACGTTGACTCTAGAATGTAAATATCGTAATGCCCACTATCTCAAAGCTGACATACACTTTCTAGTGGCCAATGCCAATACCACCACCGCGGATCCCCTCCTACCTTATTTTTGCATGCGGCAATGCGGCAAGCAGTAAGCATATCAAGAAGCCAATAATTCCCCCGAGCTTATTTCAACTCTACCTAGACAGGTAGAGTACCCATCCGTATTACCTCAGCATTTGACTGGGGGTGGCGGCTAGAACCCATCAAAAGGCTGAGCCAGTCTGCTCTTAGAAAGCCCCCTACAGGGATGAGAAAGCCACCAAAGCTTGGCTGTTGATCATGTTCTTGGCTGTGTGTGTCAAAGGTACCGTATATTTTTATGACTGTCTTTCTGATTAGTTGATGACGATGATGTCGTCGCTGGCCTTTTACTTCTCAGGATGCTGCTTCATGAGTGTTATTACTGTGGAAGCTACGGATCAATCGGCTTGTAAGAAAAATAGTAAATACACCACCGAATAGTAAGGCCGGTTGAGGGTCTCATCTAGAAATAGTTCAGGAGGCCGTGTTCCGTAAGCGAGGCCACAGTTACGTTGCTTATCAGGAGGATTATGATGATGAGGGACGTCCTTGGCTCACAATAAAATTGGCTTTCTGAGTCATGAGATGTACAAAAACATACCAGATATGACGAATAAAAAGAATGGAAATTAAACCGTTCCTGGTTTGGAATAATTTTGTTGGCAATGGGTCTTCTTTGAGCTTGTCTGTGTATTTGTCTCAGCGGATGATGCGGCTTTTGGAACACGCCAAAATTGAGCTTGGCACCAAGTGCCGTGGGCCCGAGTCTGGGGTTCTTTTTTTTTTTTTTTTTTTTTTTTTTTTTAAATCGGGTACAGCCTCAGATTTGTTGTTCTTTTTGTCTTTTTTTGGGGACGTCTAGGATTTGGGGGCCAGCGTCAAGAGGAAGAACAGAGTACGCCTTGGCCTGTCAGATCTTCAGTTACTGCTTAGAGGTAATGATGATGATGATGATGATGATGATAGTCTTGGTTATGACCATGGCGAAGCACAGGCACAGTAGCATAACACAAAGATCCTGGTGGACCTACCTTCATTTCGTGTGCAAATGCCAAGCTCACAATTACATGCAGTGCTCTTGTCAAACCAAAAGTTCCAAGTAATTACTGACCAGACCAGAGAGTCATGTTGTTTGTCGTCTCATTGCCCGTTTTGACCCTTTTCAATGTGCTAAGAGTTTGGTAAAAAAAAAAAAAAAAAAAAAAAAAAACTACGTACAAAGTACAGAGTAGGTAGGTGGTATCTCAAGACGCCAGAGCTGAGACAAGATACAATTGTTTGCTGTCACTCAAGAGCCGTTTCCTGTAACCTTGATGTAACCTCTGGTGGTTGCGTTTCACCAAACAACAAAAAAATAAGTCATCGATGCAGAGATCTTCCAAAGACAGGAGGTCCTTGCGCAGTGCAGTAAAGTACCGGTGTAGTGCACAAGGTTGATCCTTATCGATGGCTCAGTTGAAACACTGCATCGTCAGCACTTAATCCTACACAGTCAGTCGCCTCCATCGTTATAGTAAGAAACAAGCAATATCATGTCATCATGAGGCTAATGTCTATTATGGAAAGCACTGCGGATCAATCAGGGAATTTAACATTATGACCAATAAGGTTCTATTATAAAATAAAATAATGAAATGTCCCCTTCTACTTTATGGCCATGAATAGATTTCGGCACGCACGGCTCAATGATGGACAAGCACCTGACTAGTAAAATAGACTTCTTCTCGGACAATTTGATTTGATTTAATGACGTCGGTCAGGTAGGCAGCATTGTTAATTATGTCTAGGGTCCAAGTCAAAGCCAAGCCCATGGATGGATGAAGATCTTCAAAGGTAGGTGTGCTTAAGCTTAAGCCTTTGAGAATCTCCGAAAGAGCCGCCCACGACGTTGCGTTGCGTCTTTCGGGGGGGGGGGAGTCACTTGATGATTATTTCCTTGTTGGGTAATGGCCATTGAACGGCGTCTTGTCAAGCATTCCCGCTGGAAAGAAAAGTCCCTTTGCCTGATATATACACGCTTCTACTGATTGACATTGACTGACCTGGCCGCAGTGAGTCTGCGTTTCGGAAAAAACTGGAGGCCAATATTTTAAGAGAATAATTCTGTTTTTCATTCTCTTACCGCCGAGCTCGGCTTGTCGCAGTATTTGCAGAGCCAGCTTCTTAACTGTGCATCAATGCGTACTTCGTTTCCTGGTCTATGCCTTAAAAATAAAATATAATTGTTTAGAAACAAGAGCCAGATCCTGATCTGTGTGTACACTCTACATGACTTTTGTCTCTAATACAAGATGAAGGGTTTCAAGATCGACCAGGCCGCCTCTAGTGCAATGCTTGTTCTAACACGATGGTCAACCACTGTACACGTAACATGTTCCTTTTCACCACCTGCAAGTCTGTGCTTTACGGGCTGTGATTTACAGTTGCAGTGCAGCAGTGCAAAATACGCAGAACAACTAGAGAGGTCAACTCGGGAAAATCGGCGGTTAGTTTATTATGAGACTCCCCCCATTCCCCACGTCTCAAAGAACATGACGTCGCCTGTGCCGTGCTGCCGATTTGGTGTCTCGTCTCTGTCTCGGTATGTATCTTTTTTCTAGAGCCACGGCCCTCAAAGTTTCTTGTGTTTCTTTTACTCGCTCACTCTGAACATCTATTCAAGAGACCTGTTCTTGTCGTCGTCACCGTCTTCGGCCGCCACGGGTCTTGGGTCGTGGTCTTGGTACTGTAAACAACTGGATGCTGAGACTTGGACTTGACGCAACAGTCAACAAAGATCGCCGGTGGTCAAGCCTCTCATCTCCCTGCTTTTCCAGGCTTGTCTAAAGCTTGGCTCAACATTGACCTATGAATGTCGCTCTGTTGTGTCACAGAGCCAAGACGACCCCTGCTGTTTTGAACTTGAAAGGAAGGCCCAGAGAGGGAGCTCGGGAAATCGGCTCACAACGGGTGGGCGCATTGCAGTTTTACTGTATGTAGGTACTATTACTGTACTGGGCAGGCAGGTTCCAAGGTTCCAAGGTTCCAAGAATTGAGATACGACAGTCAAGGCGCTTCAATTGACCTGTATTAGGTTTGGGGGCTCAAATAGTGTACTTGGTTATACTATAGGATGCATAGCCAAGGCTTGGTAGAGTATATGGTTCTTGTTGATGTGTTTTGAGTACAAGTAATGGCTGCAGCTCCCCCTGACAAAAGCCTAGCTAAAACAATAGTTCAGATCACATCATACGATAGCAAGAGAAACCCATGGGTCAAAAAGCGACATCTCACGATACCGCGGAAAAAGGACATGGCGTTTATTTCACGAGTCACCCCAATTTGTTGAATCGTAATTCATCCATGGCTGCCAAGAGCCCAAGACGGCTCGGCGCTGGACGGTACCTTGGGTCAGGTGGCCTCTTATTCGAGCAAACAAGGCGCCCTGGTTTAAGCATGAATTTAAGCGTTGTCAGCCACTTGCTTGGCACGGCTGTCATTCCGCCCTAGGGGGGGTGTCTACAGAAGACAAAAAGGGAAAACATGGCATTCTGCTCCAATCCCAAGGGAGCAGCGACGCTTCAATCAAGCGATATCACTACAGTAGACATGGGGTCCCTATCTACCCTGTCCAGCAAGAAAAAAGGACACATGCTTGACATTGTCGGCCGTCAACTAGAGCCCGTGGCTTGAGAATGGGTGGTCTTGGTACGGTTCCAAAGATGCCGTCCCAACCGTCTTGGCTTTACAGGGGTACCACTCAGAGGGTGGGACTTGGCGGAAACAAAAATGGGCTGGAGGTTTCTGATTCTGGTATATCTGGGGCACACTTGTTGCAGCTGATTATTCCCGAGAGTGTTCGCGGTGCCGGGTGGATCAAGGGAATTTTATTTTGGCCCTTTACTTTTTCTTGTCGTAGCCAAGGCTTTTTTGATGATTGAGCCAAGTAGAGAATCAGCTGAGTGCCAAGATTGATTGAAACATTGAAATACTATATATTTTAAGTTGGTTCGGTGGCTGAAAGAGACTCAATATTTAAATGCCAAATGCCAATGGTAGATGCCAGATAAGGGAGATTTAACAATCGTCATGGCGGAGACTTCAAATGTCACCATCTGGATATATCGGCATCTCATTCTTCGAAGCGCTGTTTTAAGGTCACGCGCTAGACAGGGCCTCTCCATATTTCTAATTCTCGCGTGCCGATCTGTCCGTACTGAACCCTGTCAATAATGACTCGGCTGACGCCACTTCAACTCACTTGCTGATAAACTACTAACTGTTCTAGCTTGCGACACTGCCAAACCCAAACCGCTCCAAGCTTTGTCTCTAAATTTTTACCGTGCAGCCCGATAAAAGCTTGGCGCTCGGTGGCTGCATGCTTATTTTATTTTATCGTGCTTATTATTATTTTTTTTAATCCTTTTTGAGTCTGTCGTCTGATTGGCTCACCAGGGGAGATACATCTCTTCAATTCTGTTTTGTGCTCATTGTACTCTGTATTGTGTCTTTGACCCTTCTGCCCCAGTTACTTAGTTTGTCAGACCATCGTGAAGAAGGAAAAAAACACATCTCACCTAGTCGCCGATCTACCCGTGCAAAGACCAGGAGTATAAATCTGATTTTTGACTCTAATTCTAATCATGACGATTAAAAGGGGGTGATCGACTGCATAGTATCAGCGAATACGGCGGCTCTCTGATAAACACCTACTACAAAGTACTGTGAGCTGTCATCCAATGCAACAAGAACCCAATCCTGCAAATGCCGAGACAGAGTATCGGTGACAAGATTGTACTACTGCAAGCCCAGATTGTAAGCTTAATTTTTCGCCAAAACCACAAGAATCTTTTCATTTTGTTGTTTTTTTTTTTTATGGACCAGCTGGTTAGAACAAGTGAGCCACACAAAACCCACCAATAAATTAGTGCAACTTGGCAGGTCCAGGTCATGATACGTTACGCTGCATCGTGACAAGCCTCAACAAGCTACGTACAGCCCCAGCCAAGTCCCATCACCGCCCGCAGATAAAAAGGTAAAGGAAGAAAAGGTCCATTAGCCAACCTCGCTTAAGAGTGCACCACCATGTGCTGTGCTGTGCTTTGGCACCTTGACACAGAACTCATTCCTGGACCCCCTCCCGCCAAGTCTTGGCCCAGACTTATTCATCGTCAGAGTCTGGACTCGGCGCTGTCGCGTTATTATTATTATTGACATGGGCATTAACATGAAATGTGCTCAGAGAAAACAAAATGATCATCTGCGAGGTCAAGTCGAGAACCGAATCATTGACGGGCGTAAAAATCATTTGCATTTGGCTAAATTGACCTACCCTGTCTGCCTGCCCGTCGACTCAACTCAAAGTCGGTGTCTTTTAAGCTCATACGAGCTAGCCTATAAACAGCAGAGACACCAGGTAAGCATAATTTATGAGCCTGCCCGTTGGCGTTGGAGGGTCTAGAGTCTGGACCTTTCTGTCAGATGAGGCTGAAAGGGAGGGTCACTCAGACGACATAATTGGGCAGATTAATCATGCAAAGGACAAAATTATACGATCCAATAAAAGTGAGAGTTACAAGGGGGTCTTGTTTTATGAAGAAGAGGAGAAAAAAGGTAGAAAATAAAGAAACTATTAGTCACGTATGACGAAATGCATGGATTTACGGGGGCGAAAGAAGGATCATGGAACTTTTCCGTGGATCCATAAGTGAAAAGAAGAAGAAAAAAACAGAGATTTTCTTTGACCAACTAAAAAGAATAAAGAGGAGAAGAATGATGATAGCCCGATCAAAGCGCGACGGTATCGTCAGAGGGTTCCACTAGCGGATACTCTATTATCTAATGGAATGTGTGCCCATTTCCCGAATCAGGGGGCCACATGGATAAGTCGGCATCTCTAATTGATCGTCATTAATTTTGCGTTGTTTTTACTTGTATTGTCTGTGTGGTCGTCTCGAGTGCCGTGTGTTTTGACCTTAAAGTACTTTTGCATGCAGATCGAGTGTGATCGTCTTGGGATCATCACACATCATTGAAGAAAACAAAGGCCATCAGGGTATAACAACTGACCGCTATACCTACTCACCTACCTATCTAAGTGACAAGAGAAGAATCATTCGTGTCTCTTTGACAGTAAAATAGAGAGTTCCCGCACAACCCTTGTCCCCATCTTAAGCTTATTTGCAACTGTGAAGAGGGGGTTACTCGAAGCAGTAATCAGGGACCCTGGTTCTACCTCGTTTGCAACAGAACTTTTGCCAGTGACATTGAATTAGGTAACTCGACGTGCCATTCTTTCGTAAACATGAGACGTCAACATGCCAAGCTTCCGGCAAAACCGGACATAATATTAAGAACTATGTCCATGGGAAAGAAGGAGAGCCGTTGTAACCGAATGGATCTACTGGATTTACATGCAACTCGAATCTCAGGAACCGGTTTTTTCTTTTCCTTCCTTCAGGTCAAAGTGGATATAATTGTCTTGGCTTTCGGACACGATATTACTCTAAAAGAGCCCCAGCAAAAAAACACGACAGGAACAACACGATTCATAGTAGGACATTCACTGACCTGAACTGACACTGATACGGACACCGTCGACGGTGAATATGGGTCTTTCAAAGGGCCGAACCTTCGGTGCTTGGCACGGAAGAGTTGTTGTTCTCAGGACCCGTTATTTCCTTCTATCTCTTCTTCCAAAGTCCACAATATATCCATATTGATAGTGACAGCGACAGCAAAGACGACAATACCGATAACAAACAACGGGCCGTATTCCCTCGGTAACTACAAGTTACTAAATAGGTAACCCCATTACTCTTGTCTGTACTCTTCCTTTCGTCTCTCTTCTGTAAAATGACTGACTTGATAAAGACTACGGAAATAAGGCCGCCGCTTAACCAAAAGCATCCACAAATCCATCCGTAATACGTAGTATTCTCACACCCCCCAGCCCAGAACGGCTGCGTCGGCACGATCGTTGGGTCACTGCGCCACGGGATGATGGCATACGCCGCAAGATGAACAGATATGCTTATTATTATTCTTGCCAATGGTTCCAAACCTACTGCAACTTAACTTGACGTGCCCCAATATCTCCGTGCCGTTTAAGCCGTGCCCTTGCTCTGCTCATGAAACGCAGGGTTTGGTCCCTGCGAGCATTACGACTGGTGGATGACGAGTAATTCCCCTTCCCTGATGCAGTGACAGTGACAGGCAAAGCAATACTTGTTCGTTTCGCTCTCTCTCTTTCGTTCCCCCATATTGTCAAAGTTTCGTGGTGGCGGAGTTTCGGGACTATTACTTTTGTTTGGCGCCGTTGTGATGCCGTTTTATCCAGTACTCGACCCCTGGTTCTAGTTCTGCTTCTACTACTGCTTCAAAAGGGGGGCCGTACATCCGAATAGCCACGGAGTGATTACTACGTGTGATCTATTGTAACGAGACTAATTATTGGGTACTTATACGGGCACTGGGTTTGGGCACTGGGTTTGGGTATGGAAGTTACCGTTTAGTTGCAGCCACGAAAAATATAAGCAATTATTATCATGATGTTGTTGAACATGCTGAACCTCTCAAGTTGTGGCTTCAGGGTAGGCGTGTTGCAGTCACAAACTAGAAACATAACTATCAGCGTAACTCGCCTGTTTCTCATACATCTAAATGCATGGTTCTTTTGTAGTACTATCAATCTTCGAGTCTACTCCAGGCTGTTGGGTGGATGTAGTTCCCTTGTTCCTATGATCCAACGGAGCATCGGAAAGGACTTGAAACCAAATGGTTTTAGCCATGGAAGATTTCGGCTTCTCCTGTTTGTAGGTCATGCAGGGACATACACTGGTCATGAACACCACGAAACCATGTTCCGGATAATTAATTATGCTGACGGAAAAACATCAAACTATACTGACCAGGTGATTCAGTACCAGGTCCTCACTGGACTGTGTCAAGGTATTGATTGTGATGCATCTACACCATCGTGTCGAGGTGGAACCCGTGTTTCGTAGCAGTATAGCTCCACGGTATATATATAACCTTATCTCTTGTTTGGGCTTCGCGGTTATCTATCTTTTCTAATCATAGGTTCTACTATTCTTGGGGACTACCATGGTCCGGCTGTTTCGTCAATCATCCCCTATACACCATCTTGAATGGAGCTACACATCGAGAATCCTAAACGTATGGCAGTACGAACCAAAGGATTGAATTCGGCATCGTTCTAGCCAGCTAGGCTCCTGGTGAAAGGGCAAAATCTATGTGTTCGCAATACTCCATCCCGTAATATCGGATTAAGGAGGCTAACACAAAAGCACATCGAATTGTGTTAAGAACGTACAAACGTAGCAAGCATAGCTATAATTGGCGACTGTAAGACGCTACCGTCTGGAATTTTGATGTATAGAGTCGGATATATGTTCGTCCTATCTATCGTGCCACGATCATAGGGAAACACGGCAAGCCTGTATACCGGATCTAGAGTTATAAGCTCCCTTTTCAAACTCGCTACGTCAAGTAACTCCAGGAAACGTCAGGCTCAACCCCCCATGAGATGTATTGTCTAGCCTCGTTTATCATATGTCGTAGAATAATTGGTATAGTGGTGATCTATAGTATACAAAGAAAAACACATAAATAACCCCGAAGGAACAAATATGCAGACATGGGCAAAAGACCCAGAAAAGCCTGGCTCCTCGGTCAGATCTCAGCCAGATCCCACACTCACTACCCTCAGCCATCGGAAGATCCAGTGCCATCCCCATCGGTAACGCGTTGTTGAAGAAGATCGTGCAAGCACTGCATGCACTCATCCGAATCGAACCAACAGCTTCTCTTCGCCGAATCTAGCTCGCACGGCTAAGACGCACCATGAGTCTATCATCCTGTCACACAGTACTCGTCGACTCCGCCCAATTACACGGGAAGCGCTCCATGCTCCCTTGTGGTCGTTTGCCCTGCTGCGATACACAAGTGTCGCTTGCCTTGATACGTGCAACGTATCACTACAAAAGCATACGGGTATCATGTCGCCCGCGCAAGTGGATCGCAGCATCCAAGACGGGTTGTATCCAAGGTAGGCAGGCATTAACGAGCATGCTCTGCTAGACGTGGAAAAACACTGGAGATCAAACGTGAGTTCAGGAAGCGACAGGAGTGACAGGAGTGACAGGAGATGAAATTGCATGTGGATGTGGTCAGCAATCGCATCGATGGTAGTGGCGTGGGAAGGGGACAACATCGCGGACGTTCGGCACGCCGGAGAGGTAGCTTAGGAGTCGATCGAAACCAAGTCCAAAGCCACCATGAGGAGGACAACCCCAGCGACGCAAGTCGAGATACCATGCTAGTTCCTTGCCTCCAACAGAGCGTTTGCTAGGGACCTCGAGCCCCAGTGCTCGCATGTTCTCTTCAAGCTGGGGAAGTCGATGCTCACGCATAGAGCCGCCAGCCAGTTCTCCCATGTTGGGAACCAAGAGGTCAAAACAGTCAACTGTTAAACCAGATGATGGGGACGAAGACGACTGTCGCATGTAGAAGGCCTTTATATCTCGCGGGTATTGTGTGATAAACACTGGGACATAGGCATCTGTAGTCTCGTCGTACCCAATCTTCTCAGCAAGGTACTTCTCATGCTCAGACTGCAAACCAGCACCCCATTGAGGCTTGTGCTCGAACTGATCAGCAATAGGCTCCAAGATCTCAATAGCTTCACTGTATGTAATGCGAGGCCACGTCGTAGTTGTGAGCATGCCTCGCCATCGGCGGTCCAATTGTTCTTGCTCAACAAGGTCTTTGAATGCGAGGCGCTCGGAAGGCTCCTTCGAATCAAACCGATTCTGTTCAAGCTCCTTAGCAGCACTAAGTTCCTTCAAGCCACTTGTTAGCGAGTTAAGCATACGCTGTGCCAGGTCCATGACTTCGTTCATGTTATCGACAAAACTCATCTCCGCCTCAAGCATGTAGAATTCACTGAGATGTCGCGAAGTATCGCTCTGCTCAGCTCGAAAAGTTGGAGACAAGGTCCAGACATTGCCGAGAGCTTGGGCGAGAGCCTCGAGGTGAAGTTGAGAGGAAACTGTCAGATACTTCGGCACACGGAAGAACTCATCTGGAGATGATGCCTTGACAGCGAATGCCTCACCCGCTCCTTCGCAATCAGACGATGTGATTATAGGGGGGTGCGTCTGTTGAAATCTCTCGCGGAAAAAGAACTGCGTGAGCATGGCGGTGGCATCTGACCGCAGGCGTAGCATAGTGGAGTTCAGAGGTGTTCGCGGTCGAAGATGAGAGATGGTTCGAAGACTTTCAGGAGACTGATATTTGTTCTGAATCGGGTATGTCTAGGACTATGTGAGAAGAAGATTCTCATATATTGGAATGATCTTAGTACACGTACCATGGGGTCAGAACCACCAAGGATTTCCACCTCTGATACTTTCAGCTCAGGCTGTTCTGGACTTGCTGAAGTCTCGCACTCAGCCTTGGTATCAGAAGTCTGAGTTGAGCCATCAGTGGGAGATTTCTTCCCGCTCTCATCAACCCATATTCCTTTCAAGCGGACAGCTGCACCTGGACGCATGCTGCGAACATGTCAGCCAAAGTTGGTTCATACGTGTAATTTTCAGGCTACATACTCGGCAGCTAAACTCTTATCCACGACCACTTGAATAGGCCGCATGGAAGAGCCATCGGTGATATCGATAAATCGTACCCCTGAGCTCTTTCGTACTGATCTTACCCATCCAGAAACCTCAACATCAGGCACAGGAGATGACGGACCCCACGCTTTGAGCTCAGCTACAGTCTTGATATCCTTCTGGCACTCGCCAGGAACCCTAACCGCGTAAAACCTTCTTTGGGACCATTGTCTCACTGTTCTTGGAACTCTGTGTGCACGGAACGATCTCATTGTGAAAGACGACGAGTCGGAAGTCCGATCCGAGACAACACAGTGGAAGCTAACAATTTGCGAGTTGCTTGTTTTGGACACCCAGCCACGAGACCACTCTGGTGGAAATAAGGTGTGTCTTATCTTTGGCTCGTATAGGAAATAATGGAGAAATGGTTACGTCTCGTTGGCGAGCAAAATGTGATGTGATGTTATGTTAATGTTAGCGCAGTGCCAGACGCAAGGGATGCCAAGTTTCCATTAAAAAATGGATGGATGGAGGGGAATTTTTGGCACCTCATGGGCTTGGTCTAGGGTAACTTAATTGCCGCCCGTCAGGTACTATCGATTAGAATACGAATGGAAAAGTGTGCTATGAATCGGATCATCGAGCTGTAATTCCTATCATGGTTAAGCGGCGGGCCCGTAATAACATGTACCGCATCGGATCTTCACTGAGATCTAGTTAGATACAGCAGCTCGGACTTCAGCTGAGATTGGGGGGAGGCCCCATTCAGCCGGTCAGGTCAAGGGTGTGATTCTCGCTTGTTGGTGGTTGGAAGCTTCCATAGAGATGCCGACTGGTTCTCACCGTGGATGTCTTGGCTAAACTTGGTGGCCTCTGTGCGCATGGCATAGATTGTGGTTTTGGAAAGGTATGGGTGCTAGTCTGTAGAGCTGGTAAAAGGCAGTTTCATGACCAGAGCCACGGTACTGGGTCATACCTCCCTTGCCAAAAACACAAACCAGTACTTTCCTCCTTCTGTTCATCAAACAAGGGAAGCAGGTGCTGACCGGGAAACGAGCAATTTTACTCTCAACCTGCATCCATATAATGGAAGGAACAGGACAAGGGATAGTGGTGGCCCTTTCCTTTCCACATACGTTTCAGGAGGCTCCTGCTATAGTTTCATATCCCGTCAAAGACATTTTCCTGTCTTTACCTGAACTTACCTAACATTAGTATCTCACTTATCCTTACTATTAACGACGCCAAAATCTCAGGCTGAGCTTCAGTCTCAGTCAGGATCAATCACATCACCACATGCCTGCCTGCAATTCCATTTCAAATCCGATCAAACCAGGTCAACCCCAAATCAAGCAAACAAATCGTCAGTGACAGATGGGACTATCCCCTCGTCAATGAACCACTACTGCCCACCCACTCACACTTGACGTCTACACTTCTCACGAGACACGACACAACAAGACACCAGCCCACCCAATAGAAATAAGCGTGTTTCTCTCAACTAGTTAGCCCAAAGCCAAAAACGTGAATTCGCCAATTTCCTCGCTCCAACGAGAGACAGCTCCCGATATCATTCGGCCTGAAAAAAGCAAGCCCACACCGCAACCTTCCGTATCATAGCGTTCCCCCCAGCTCTCGTTCTGTCTCAGCCTGAACATCGTGACTGGGTTTTATGCGGTTTTCCATGTCTCACATCGTGAACCGATCGATTGCGCACTCCGCACAGTTTCCGCCCAACATGTGGAATCCTGTACAAGATTGTACTTGATGAGGTTAGCCAGATACCACTTGCAACGAACCGACAAGGTCTATGTCGTCAGACTTGCCAATGCGCGTTTGATTTCTTTAGTCTTCCACGTCCTCGGTTCCAGTAGCTGAGCCTCCTCGTCACAAGCCCCCACAACCACACCTCATCTCGTCTCATCTCACACGTTCATCTTGTCTCCTCCACGAGCTGATGTTGGAGCTGGCGTTGGTCCACCGCCCCGGGTATCCGCTGGGACACAAGCTTCTACCAGGCGAGATGAAAGGGTGCCACAGATCTTGATTCGCAACAATGTCCCGGCCAGTTGTGTCTCAGGCCCGCCGATAAAGATCATCTTTCTCTATGACCCTGATCGTCAAATAACCCAACCAGCGTGATTGCTTGCTCCGTCTTGAGATGGCGGCGCCGTCTGTGTTCCCGTGAGATCTCGCAGATGCTCCACGGTTCCCGACCTTCAGTGTAGCCCACCCTGGTTCCGTCAACTTGGCTGCCGGGGCTATGCGGCACTATACGTCTGCGATGGTACCTAAGATCTGGCGCGGCACAGATCCCCGGCTGACTACGATACGTGCTTCCCAGTCCCTGGTACCCCCAATTCGATAGGCCTTTACTTTGTACCTGCTCATGACTTTCATGATTCGTTTGGCCCTGCATTTGCTTTGTCTACGTGCTCTCTGCAGCCTGTACATCCTTAAATTCACCTAGCAGAGCTATGCCTGCTAGGACATGTTGTCAAGCGATGCGACCCTGTTTTAGCACCCACGTCTTGCCGTACCCATAAAGTGATGCTGGTCTCTTTTTTCTTCTGCCCTTTGTTTGGCTTGTTGCCTCGCCTCAGGCCGAGTCTGTTTCTAAACAAGTGGTTCAGATCTTGGACATATTGGGTCACACAACCCAGTGTCCATACCTCCCCTCTCTCGCTTGCCCTAGGGTCGTCAGTCAATCAGACTGAGATCCTGAGTCTTGTCTGTTGACAGTTTCCTCAACCATGTTGCTTTTTCAGACTATATGTCAAGTGTGCATATAAGACCCTGCCACCCTTCATCGTAATTTGAATTTGGCATCCTTCTATCCTCATATAACCATTGATACTCACTCGCACTACTCCTCTTGCCGGACCAGGCATATTAAACTAGACACTTCACCTTTCACTTTATTGCTCTCGACTTCTTGATATCTTCTTATCTCGGGTTCGCCTTAAGACATAATAAAGTCATCCCTCTGGCCCAAACTTTCCACTATCATCATGGCGCCTCCAAGATCCAGCCGAGTACGGCCCTCGGAGGTCGCAGCTGATACTAAGAGGAACTTCATACCGCTTGTGAAAAAGAACTATGGCGAAATGTTTCCACCATACTCTTACCTCTACCGACAGCCCATTGCACAACTCGCCATCCAGCGTCAGAAACCTACAACACGGCCACCAACGTTCAGAATCGATGTTGGAGATCCGGTCATGCAGGCATTGGCCTACGCAGGCATGGACACACAACAAAGCGAGGCCACGGGCGGCCCCCGCGTTCGTATTCCTTTCATTTGCGCTGCCAATGAACGCAGGCCTGGAGGGGACTGGGAAACTGGATGCGTCGGGTATGAGGAAAAGCTATGCAGACGAAGCAACCTCTCAGCCACACTGAATACGCCTTGGCCAAACTCCCCAGAGTCCAACAACTATCCCATTCCATCACAAGGCGGTATCTTTTCAGACGCTGTAGTGGTCTGCCGTGGTCCTCATGATCGCTACGATAGGCTAGACAGTTGGTATGACCTCCCCGTCGTATCAGTACCACCGACTAGGTGGCCAAAACTCAAGGACAACGGCCTCAAATACTCTTTTGCAGAAGAACGTGAGATGACCCGCGATAAGCTTCGTGGCGCTCTCCGTATATGCCTTTACAACGGATACGACCGTGTGGTTATTGGGGACTTTGGTCTGGGCAATGGATACCGCAACCCTCCTCAGGAGCTGGCAGAGCTCTGGCGGGATGTCTTCCTTTTCGATCCTGACCTTCGAGGGCAATTTGCCTACGTGGTCTTTGTCTTTGAAGACCCTCAGCAAAGTACAATGCGCCACATTCTAGATGAGATCGTCAAAAAGGAAAACGGCTCAAAGAGCAAATCCAGGTCTGGATCATCATCCTCATCTACGACAAGCAAAAGCCACAGCAATGTCCCTACTGATCGCCAAATTTTTGAACATGTTTTTGATTCTGCAGAGGTAGACCGAGTTCTTCGACGGCCTGACCCACGATACGGACTTGGTATGATTACAACATGAGCTGGTTTGTGTCAGTTCAAGACAGATCCTACAGTCCCTCATAAGACTCAGAGCCAACCGAGTCAGAGTCTCGAGCGGGGCCAGAGACAGGAAAAACAAGTGTCTCAGATGTGCCCATATGACAGACCTCGCAGTACTCATCTTTCTGAGACCAGCCGACTTCGTGGGACCCCTGCGAAACGTTTCTTTTTCGACTCAACTGCACTTTTCCGCGTATTATCGGTCTGCTAAAGAACAAGAAAAATGCTGAGCGCTTAGAAGGATCCACGAAGGGTGTATTGTTTTGTAACAATTCAATGAAGGATCCCTGAATGCAACCGAGCCAAGCCAGGATGAATGATGTGTCACAGATGATTCTCTTTGTTTCATTACATGTTGTGGATCGCCTTCAGTTTAATGGCGAATTTCTTTTTTGGTGTTTTGGGTTGATGTTTGGCGCCTTATTGATTCCCGATCTACAAGTGGCCTGTCAGGCTTCTGCATCATGACGAATGAGAGATGGTATTGGCGTTGGCTGTATCACAGATATATTTAGTTCTATATTTTAACGAGTGTTCTTTGTCTTCCATGTTACACATTGGATTAATGAGTGTCCTTTTACTGTCTCTATCTCTAATGCTACTTGTGGATTCGACGATTCAAACTCGGCCGAGACGACAGCGGAGACATCGTCACTTCCCAGAAGCACTGATGACATTTCGGTACTGAGAAAAGAGGAGCGTGACTCAAAAATCTTGCTCAGTGCGAATTCATTGGTAGCCCCTATTCCATGTTGACTTCTGTCTTTCTGCTCAAGACAAGGCAATAGACGAATGATTCCTTACCCAGTATAGACTACCTACCAACTCACGTTGAACATAGTTGAACCCTGATATGCTGTCATAACGTGTACATGCGGGCATCCTTTGACGGTGGTAAGGCCGAAATTAAATACGTACTCTTCGAGAAACAATGCCAGAATGCAGTGCGTGTTGTCAGGCAACCTGATTGAGTACCAGGCACTTCTTAGCTGGTCAAGTCTGATAACTACCATTGTTTTCCCTCGCTATCAATCGCTGATCGCACAGTGTACTTCCTACTCGTCATTATTCTACCTACGGGGTAGAAAATCTCCCTTCATCGACACAGTACGGCACTATATCGATGCAGGCCATATATACAGCGCTTACACAGCTCTTCCCTCGCGTGTAACACCGACAGGCGGGTTTTCAGCCGCGGCCACTCGCAGGGGGAAAGAAGACTACACTGAACTTGGACAACTGCAGAAACCAGATGCATGTCGAAGATCATAGCCACAGGACTAGCGGCAGATCATTTTATGCATGTCTAATGAGTAAGATAGGGCTACGCAAGCAAGGGCTCATGGTAAACATTCGCAAGCCAACATGACTCTCATGGTTTCTTCCATGCACAACCCCAAGCCTCGATATCATTGTGTTCCCCTTCTCCACCGCGTCTTCATATCGTGTATACAGTAAGCCAAATTCTCAAATAAACGTTTGTTTACTCTTCCCCTCACTAGCCCCCCGTTGCACATATCTCGATTGTGACACCATTGCACGGCATATGCCCTCGTCGCGTTGCATCGAACATGCTTCTGCCACGAAGAGGCGCTACAATGGCGTAAAGACGGTGAGGGAGATGATATCAAGAAACGGAAAAGCAAGGATGACGATAATAAAGGGCAAACTCCGGAGTGGGGAGTTTTGTTTCAGAACAGTTATGCAGAGGCGACATGCAGTAACACCAAATTTGACTGACCGCCAAAACGAAACTGAGAGAGAACGAGGAAATGGGAGGTAGAAATAAGAAAAGAGGTCTACTGCAAGGGATGATTCACGTCCTTTCCCTTGTTACAAATAATGACATGATCGTGGCTCGTATTGCAGTGTTTACTGGTAGATGTCTCTGATATCCTCAACTTGCAAGTGTCGACCGGTATTATTGAACGAGGGCAAATAAAAAATTAAAAAAGAAGCTTTTGGAGGAGTAACGGAGTTAAGGTGGATTCAACAATGTAGGTCGGTGTGTTTCGTGCTACCTGTTATTCAACATCTTTCATCCTCCTTTCTCCTGTCTCTTTCACCAAATTTTGATTTTGCATTACTCCATATAAAAGACCGCTAGTCAACACCCGATTCTATTAACAATGCTATCAGTTCCTACCAATAGGATGGTCTCAAGCCTGCAAAGTTGGACAAGGCTGCTGAGGAGGCCTCGTCACCATCCTTCTTACGCTGTCCGCTCAACTTGAAGAATTGTTAGTTTCAGGTTCCTGCAGCTGCTTATTCAGAACTTACCTCCAATTGAACACCCTTGTGAATATGAACCAGCCAGTCCACGTAACTCTGAGCCTCATTATTTCTGTCCTCCACAAGCATGCGGGCAAAGTCAAATTCAGCACCATCAATGCCTTGTCTGGCAAGCTGGATCGTAAGACCCTTGGAACCTCGCATTGTGCGAAGAAACTCAATGATGTTGCGGACTTGAGCATTCAGGTGTGTCTCAAGCTGTGGTAGAGCCGATGTATACGGATCCAAGCTCTTGAGAGAGTCCTTGTCCTCACCGAATAGATCAGAGATAAGGTTAGGGGATGTTTGGGAGTGGAACCAAAGTAGACATTGCTGGCCATTGTCCACAAGATACACACCGCCGGGTTCCACTCGAGAGAATGACGTGCGAATTGCGGGTGGCATCTTCAGATGGCCTGTCTCAGGGTCGGCGAAACCTTCTTCGGGTGCCAGATTATGAACAGGAATCATACGGGGGTACAGATACAAGCTCAGCTCAAGACCTCCCATAGAACGAAGCATTCGCATTTCGTGCACTCTGCGGTCGGAGTTCTCAATACCACCCTTGAGAGCTCGACATTTGATAAGACCGAGAAGATACATGCAGTACTCTTTGAGTCGCTCGGGCATGACAAGCTGTCCTGGTGGATGTTGCTGAGAGGCATGCTTTCTATAGCAAGCAAGAACATCAATAGCCTTCTCGCTCAGCCAGTGGCGAATATCCTTGAGGTTACTTGACGTTGTCGCCAGCTTCGTGCTAGCCTCCTTGGCCAGCATACCGATTACGGCGTCTTGGTCAACAAACTTGAGGCACTCACGAATGCCTTGCTCACGCACACCTGATTCCTTAGATGTCTCGGTGACGCTAGCAATAATGTTGGAGCACCGCACACGGCGTTCGCCAGAAGCTGTGGTATAAAGGAGGGCAGACTGAAAGTGAGCATCCAGCTTGGAATCCAGCTTTCCATCGTAACTGAACGTGACACCCATCGCCTTGTCAGCGTCAATAACACCGATCTCCAAATCAGCACCGAACGTGTGCTGGATAAAGTTGCCATGGTAGCCAGCAACTTGAAGTCCGTTAGAGCATCGAACTTTCATGAGAGCCTGGAAGCCAGTTTCACGGGTCACAGCATGGGAAATCTCAAGCGACAGTTTTCGGCTGTCCCTCCCGGCGATGAAGTTGGGGTAGTAAAATGTTTCTCCGCCGGTAGTTGCAGCAACGTGGCCTGTCAAGCATGGTTAACACAATTTCTCTTGGACTGTCGAGAGTTCAACTTACCGATGGTGGCAATATCGAGGTAGCCGCCCGATGGAGCAGCGAGGAAGAAATCGACACCTACTCCTGAGGCTGCCATTTTCTCAGCGACCTTCTTCCAAGCTGGATGCTCGGTTGTGTAGAGCTTCTTATCTATTTCGCCTCCAGGTTGGTTGCCATTATCACGCAGAAACAGGCGGCCAGGGCCCCAGGTTGGTAGGGCAGAGCATGATGCCACAACCTTGCCTCCTGTCGCCTCAAGCGCAGAAAGTGCCGAGTTCAGGGCAGCCAAAAGAGCGGGTTCAGGGTTCTTGATGGTTGAGAACATGTCTGGCAGTCTAGTCAACAGAGATGTGATCACATCCTTGGACTCGTATGGGTCAACAAAGAGTCCCTCGCTCAGGGGTACAAAGGGGTCCTCAAGATCGGGCATGATCATCATTTGAGCTTGATCGAGGGCAGGCTGCGAACTGTTAGTGAGAATATATGGACAACTGTGGGGGTAAACTCACATTGACATTGTAGAAGTGAATGTCCTTGTCATAAGTGACAAAGCCAACCTTGGCACCTTCTGGTATTCTACGTTTCGGTTCTCCATTGTCGTCCAATTCTTGGTCCTCGCCACCATATAGAGCGACACGGATACCCTCGCAAAACGCCTCGACATAACCCTTGTTGTAAGATTCTTGGGTCACATCGATGAGGAACAACCATCGTAGGCCAACTGGCTCCCTGGTCCAGTACTCCTTAGGCACCACAAACTCCACAGTACCGCGGCACAGCTCAGGGCGACTATCACGGTCGACTCGAACGCCTTGTGGGTTGGTCGCGGCGAAATATTCAGCAGGGGTTTCGTTCGGGTATGAGCAGAGGTTACAGACGAACTTGTTTCCACCTGAACGGAACATCATGAAGGGGTTCATGTAAGCTCGGCATCGTCTGCAACGTGGGGGGCCGGGTTCGCCAAAGTCAAGTACTGGAACATCGGGCTCTCCAGCCTGTAAAGGAGCCAGAGGCTGCAGAAGAAGTCCAAGCGACAGGCCCGTGGCTTGTAGTGCATCCTGGGTTGAAGGGATATTGTTCATGGTGAGTCGAGTGTACTTTGGGGATGAGTTACCCTGATCATGGGCAACAAATGAAACCGTGGATGGCGGCGGAACATGTCGTTCGAATGTCGGGTATACGTTTTTGAGGTAGTACTGTTGCAAAGCGTCTCGCGAGGCCGGTACACTGGGCAGATCATCGGAGGATACTCCTTTGGGCCCGCTGGTCGAGATGGATGCCGCATCGATGCCCTCGCCGACAGGGGGCTGAGTAGCCATAGGGCCAGGACTGAAGGCTGGTGCACCAAACTGACTCTGACTTTGCATTTGGGGAGTTCCCTGGGGACTTCCGAATTGGCCCCCGAACCCAGGGCCACCTGGAACGCTGTCGAGAAATTGTGTAGCAGAAGTTCCCGCTGCAGGCATACCATTGAAGGCTTGTGAAGATCCGGTAGCTTCGACAGTATGGTAGGCATGTCTGTCCTTCTTCTTTTTCCTCGCTGTGCTGTGTCCTTCTCCCAAGCTCATCCCACCCATCTGAGCAGCCAGCGAAGCATCTTGTGGAGGCGCAGCTTGGCCTGGAGGTCCCTGAGCTAAGGGGGGCGCATATCCATAACCTGGAACTGGAGCAGGTGATCCAGTCATGGGAGGAGGAGCTTGTTGACCCCCGAGATATTGAGGTGCACCATATGGTGATGCTTGTTGCTGGTAAGGCGAGGGAGCGATGGGTGGTTGGAATTGCTGAGGATTGGGCTGCGAGGTTCGATTGGGATCGTTCGGATCAATGACCTCGCCCTGACCGAGGGCGTGGTACTGGGCGTAGTCAGCCATGGCGGTGTTGGAGTTCGGGATGCGAAAAGGGCGAGGAGATCGAAGGTGAGTATCTGTCTATCGGACGAGCATGTGCCTACCCAGTTTAAGGAGACGTGGGGCAATGGATAGTAGAGTGATGTGTAGCAAAGCTCAAAGAACACTGGAAAGAGAAATCAACAATAATTATATGCCGGAAATTGCAAACATGATCTCTCGAATCCGTTCCTAAGCTGGAAATAAGGTATTCACCATAAACTTCAGGAGTAACTGGAAACGAGCTGCTATCTTCGATGATAGGTGTCCTGCCTCGCTGGCCTTTTCTGACTGCTCCTTCCGAGTGGACATTCTAGGCGATCGTGTTCCGTATCCCGCCTTGCCTTGATTGGCAAAGCGTCTAGTGTCATTCTACCGATGCACTGTAACGCAGCACTGTGATTTATCGAGTGGGTCATGTGACGCAACCTCGAACCCCCAGCCTCGCAAGTGTAAGTGAAGCCGTAGGGTATGAGTGCATTTAATATTTATAAACCATGAGTAAATGCACAAAGAAACAACTATGCGTTCTGTTCAAGATAGAATCTCTGTTCAAGGAATCTTGAGAGGGTCTGTAAGTATTTTCTACATTTTTATGTTATCATCTCATGGGGACCTATACTTTACCGTTCATCTTGTCTCAGTGCAACGGTATTTGAACGTTGAGCTTGGAACATTATACCGCTTTTAGAACCCCACGCATGTACCAAAATTAGATTTTGGGTCAACTTGGATGATCAATTAATGTCATTAATGACATGGTTAACGAGAAATCGAACAACACTACTGATGGCTGGGGCGGCCCGCACGAGAGTTGAAGAGCGTAATTGCCAATTACATTGGACAGGTGAAAGCAGGATCAGCTAATTTCAACTTCCAACCCAAGCTTGAGTTATGAATCCCCGAGAGAAGGAAAACACATGCAATGGAAGCAGCCAAATGCATCCAATGCTCTACATTTGTATTTATTATCTGGTGGGTTGAGAAAGTTGTTGCAATAGACGCTGGCAATCACGATACCACATCGTGTGCCCCTCACCTGACCTCACCTGACGTAGCGCATTTACTGTCAAAGAGGGAGACATAGTGAAAGAGAAGCTCGAGTCAGGTTGATACAAAGCAACATGGGTAATGTAAGGTATAATGTCTCTTGTTTTTATGTGGTATGAGTTCGATTTGGTGCGTTGTTTATGAATGGAAAATAGCAACGATTGATTTGACCCAATCTTGACTCTGCACGCATGTTAACCTTCAAGGCGGATGGGATATAACAGCCTGTACGAAGTCTTTAATCAATAATTCAGTTCGAATCAAATGATTTAAATGCACTGCTGATTGCCATATCAGCTCAATTGATCTCAATATCTGATTTGTAGTTGTGACGCGTAACAGGTTCTTTCATCCGGTAGTAATTGTTGGACGCCTCCGACCGTGTAAGTCGTGATGCAACATCTCTGCTTTCCCCAATGACGAAGAAGGGCTATCGTTTAATAAAAAAAAGTAGGAAAGGCACTCAAGTTATATTTGCACATAGTTCCATATTCAAATCAGCAAAATTATGGTTGTGGTGTGGTGTATATGTGTTTGATGATCAGACAATGGTGGGATGTGGATAGCTTCAGATGCGACGCGCGAGGTTGTGATTTGGACTTGAAAGTGACTTTGCGCGATATGAACTATAGTTTGACCGAAGGAGCTCAGAACAACGTCGAAACTACACTATCGGGGTCGCTCTTTCTCATGAAGACATTGAATAACTCTACAAAAGCAAAAACATCACTCTATCGGTCGTAATCCGGAATGCGACAATGGGCATGGCTCCTTCAATCGTCTCTCAACGGTCGCCCAAGATGAGGGGTGCCTCATTTATCACAGGCAATAATTCGACGAAATCTCCACCTTACGCCAAGCAAAAAAGATTGCCCTAAACTCGCAAGAAGACAAAGAGATCGACTGATTCATCTCGTTAAAGAGGGCGAGCGAAGAAGCGGGAGAATCCAAGGAAATGGATGTTCGGGGGCATGAGTTGCGCTCACATTTTGCCAGACTCTAGATCACACAAAGGTACACCTCACCCGAGGTGATGTCTGGACTGACCAATAAAAAAATCGGTCAGTGCCCAGGTATGATTTTGGCATTTTTGGTGCCCCATTTCCTTAAGTGCCATATCTTGGAGGGTCCAGGCTTGGCATCCCCTCAAATCTGACCAGCTGGATGTGGCTGGACTGAGTTATGCAGAGAGCTTCAACCAATCCGCACACGTGATAACGAGGCTCATGTGTTTTGTGACGATCTTCTTGGCCTTGTGCACTCTTTTGTGCAATCGCATGCCAACGGGTGTTTAGCATGCATGAGCATTTTTAGTGTGGCGTCCAGAAAAATGCCCCTCTTCCCATCTGAGGCAAGTGGGACCCATGGCAGGGCAGGCTAGCAGCACAGATGAGTCGGGTGTTAGGGTGTGCACAGGCGCCGTGTAGCACAGCTCAGTCCCGTCGCGAAGCTGTAAGAGCGCGGGACAGACAGGTAGAGAGCAAGAGCTACCGTCCCTTTACTGATTGCGCTCTGCCCCCGCTGAATATATAAACATGCCCCGTCCCCTCCACGCGCCCGACGAGATGATCCTGTCTGTTCCCTGATCCCTTACTCATTAAACGTCTTTCAGTTCATTCAATCGTCTTAAACGTCTTGTTCGCGTCTTTGCTCTCATCTCAAACGCATCCATCACTTGTCTACACACAAACCACATAACTTCCACAAACTGTCACAATGCCTGCCAAAGCCGCCGCCGCTCCCAAGAAGGCCTCTGGCCACGCCAGCTACCAGGTGAGCCCAATTCATTTGTGGCAATACAATGGCTTGAGTTACTAACATCCTCATTTTAGGATATGATCACTGATGCTATTGTCAACGTATGTGAAATCTGAAAGCTCCTTGTTTCCTGTCGCGTACACCATCGCGCACTCATTTCTCGGTCGCGCATGAGGCCATCGCCACGCGCCCGCCCGCCCAACCTGATCTGTCTTTCCTTTCAATCTGTTTTCACTCACTAACGTGCTTTCTTTCGTATCAATAGCTCAAGGACCGAAAGGGCTCTAGGTAAGCTTTCCATTTTCTTATTCTCTTTCACACAATACATCTGCGCTGTTGCCATCGCTCCCAGTTTTTCCTTCAGTTGCTAACTCATCATACAGCCGTCAATCTTTGAAGAAATATGTCAAGGCCAACAACACTCTCAATGTCACCGACAACATGTTCGACTCTTTGTTCAACAAGGCACTGAAGGCTGGTGTTGACAAGGGTGTCTTTGAGCAGCCCAAGGGTCCCTCCGGTGGTACCAAGCTTGCCAAGAAGCAGCCTGAGCCTAAGAAGGCCGCCGCTCCCAAGAAGGTTGCTGAGAAGAAGGACAGTGCTGAGAAGCCTGCCGCTAAGAAGCCCGCTGCCAAGAAGGCTGCTGCTCCCAAGAAGCCTGCAGCTGAGAAGAAGGCCGCTGCCCCCAAGAAGGCTGCCGCTGAGAAGAAGACAACCGAGAAGAAGTCTGCCGAGAAGACCGAGAAGGCTGAGAAGGCTGCTCCTGCTAAGGCTGCCCCCAAGAAGACCGCCGCTCCCAAGAAGGCTGCTGCCCCCAAGAAGGTGTGTACTTACGATCTGACTAATGTTAACCAAACTCTGACCTTTGTCCCAGACTGCCGACAAGGCTGAGAAGCCCGAGACAACTCTCACAAAGACAAAGGCTGGCCGTGTCGCAAAGACCACAAAGGCTGCCCCTGCCAAGAAGGCCGCCGCACCTAAAAAGGCAGCGCCCAAGAAGGCCGCTGCTACCAAGGCGTAATCTGACGCTGAGCAGTATTGAACTTTAATTAATGACGACCACGGCGTTAAAGGATTTGTTCACGGCTAGGGCACGGGAAGTACGGTTACTGGAATTTCGATGGTTTGGTTTGGAGCGGGATTATTTGGCTGTTTATTTGCGCACGTACGCGAAGACTCGCGTCTGTATGATTCAACCCTCAGCCATCTCATGTTTTGGAGATGGTACACTCGAATTGCGGGTTCACTTCTACACGATCATGCCTCTTTGTATTATATCCCGCATGACATGGCAATTTTTCATTAGGCGTGTCAGGTTTGAGACAATGCGAGCGGTAGAAGGTCGACGTGTTTTACGGTGAGGGCAAAAAGTCTGGGCGAGGAAGGGCATGGAGGGATGCGGTTATACCACTGTCGCTGTTTTGAGTTATCTGTTTAGAGTACGCGATGAATATCACCAACATGATCAAATTTTCAAACTGTTGAGCCATTCTGATGATCTGCTGAAACTACGTGCGCGTATAGTTGACGCGCTGGCTTAGGGCTTGTTGACGTGGGTAGCGATGAAGCGTGTCTCAAGTCAGACTTGCCAGGGGTATATACAGCATGGGTCACAAGCGTGTTGTGGCAACAAAACCAAGTAATAGATGGGAGGGAAAGGCGGTCTTGAGAAGCCTGATACTGGGTGAATGCATTCTCAGCCCAGTGTCTGGTCTGTGTACAAAGACTCCATTACGCGTCAAAGAGATCCTGCGTATAAGTCAGACTGTTGATACCTGGTCAAAGGCACATGGAATTCGAACTGCATTCGACATAGTAGTAATAAACAAACTACGGAATATCAACAATACCAAGCAATGGCCTCATTCCTAGTGACCGAGTATAGGTGTCATCTGTCCTGAGTGAGGTGTTGGTTCGACCGCTATCTTGTGGTTGAGTGTGTTGCTGACCAGCTGGTATGAGTTGTAGTCAAGAAAAGTGGAACCACGAAACTTTTGAGTTGGCACCCGCGGCGTCTATTTATAGGAGGACAAGTCATCCTCGACCACTTGCTTGATGCAGTTGGATAAGAGGAACGATGAAAGAAATGATGAAATGGAGAGAAGTATATTTGAAACTGTGAGAAACTTCATTATCCAGTCTATGCGGTATATATGCTATTTTTGGTGATATCTACTATACAAGTTTTCGCACATTGTTAGCAACGTACACTTTGAACTGTCTCTTCCAACCTCAGACTCAGACTCAGAACTAGTAGGAGGGGTGTAGTATGAGACATTTCAGCTATCTTTTTCGTCACGGCTCACGTGCCTCAGGTGCAAGACCAACGAGAAGCTTAAACGCTTGTACCTGTACTTGCTTCTGACGCAGATTGCCGAGGTCAAAGCTATGGAGATACGTACATGATTATAGGGACCTGCCAGCCGGTGGGACAACGCATTGAGAGAAAAAGCCCAACGTCAGTGGTCGCTTGCTGCCCCTCGTTCTACAGTAAGCTCTTGAACTTGGATGGCCCGTGCTCCTTCATGCTTGTAATACAGGATCATCGCTCAATCTCTTCCCTCTTGGACTCTATCAGGCCAGTCAGTAAAGTCTTATTGTCCAGGCTCCCTGTCATCTCCTACATATTCAGAACACAGGCCTTCTGTTTGTTCAGTCAAGGGATCCCCTGAAAGTGACCCCCCGCCACCTCTCCGTTCCGTTTCGTTTCGTTGCCTTGCGTTGGCTCGGACCGTTAGCGATCAAATCCAATACGCAACAGCCCTGAAGACGCTGACGACTTCCAGCCCACTTTAAAACGCATCTTCAGTGGCATCGCCAGATTTCCCAGTGACTGATGAACCTTGGTCTGGCTTGGTACTGTACCAGCAGGCGGCAACAGGCCAGCGTTGCATCGTGTACCTTCCCACTACTGCTACCCTCCAGCTCTTGACCGACCGATCGTTCCGGGGGCCAAGGCTACCACCTACTTTGCCTACTAACTCTGCGTGCTGTGCTGTACTACACCTCAACGCAACGCCATTCTTCACAAGGCTACCTGCGAGCTATACTCATCCACTAACTCAACTCCTCGCCCTGCATCGTCTACACGTTGCGCTCTTTCTTGTCGCTTCCATTGCCGCCTAACCTCCACCTGTTGGCCGCCTACCTAATCAAGTGCTTGCCCGGCTGTGCCGAAGATGGCAGGCAGTCTCTGTTTGCATGCGCCTTGACCTATTATCGCATCAGACTATTTCTCATTCCCCGCGTGACGCAACGATAAGCTTGAATTATTGCAAATAGAGAAGAGGCACGCCAATAAGATCCCTAAGCCCCGCGCAAAGAGTTCACCATGGTGTCGTCCAATCCATTCCGCAAGAGCGCTGCCTTTACGGTAGATAATGCTACTTTTCTAAACTCGACATCCTCCGCCGCTGCTCGTTTCCCATCTCTCGACTCATTCGAAACGGCATCTACTCCACCACCTCCGACTAGCTTCCAGCAAGCGGATGCCTCAGCAATTGACCACGACTCCAAGGTCACCAAGAAAGTTCGGGTTCTTTCCCCTCCGCCGCTCTCCCCCGACCCTCCCGAATGGGCATATACATCGCCTACCCTTGCGCAGTATGCTGCGAACCAGCAGAGCGAAAACGATCCTTTTGATGCAACATCCACAGATGACAGTGATCTCGAGACGGTGGCGGCTGCTGCTCGTAGACAGGCCCTGACTGGCGGTCAAGGTGCGGGAAATCCTTTCAGCAAGACAACGCGAGACCTCGATTCGCCCATTGCCGAACAGAAACTTGAGCAAGAGCGCAAGGAAGAAGGAAATGCACTCAAGGTTGCCAATAAAGCTAAACACTCCTTGGACGTCAACTCTTTTAAGCGGCTACTCATGACGGGCAATTCGGAGTCGGACAAGGCTTTGGGACTGGCAGAAAAAGACAAGAGAGATCAGCTTTCTGCGCCTCGCAGAACATCACACGAAGCTCAAGAGGCATCCCTTATATCTCGAGATGCTTCCGACATCCCAGAAGATGAAATTGGTCAAGAGTGTGTTTCTGACTCAAGTGCATCAGCTCGAGTCGATTCAAAAAGCAGCAAGAAACCACCACCGCCACCTAGCTCACGGCATGGAAAGTCGATTAAGTTGAACTTGGTTGGAAACCAGACACCTCCAGAAGCTCTTGCGGCCTTATCACCATCGGAAATCAACAAGCCACTCCCACCTGCTCCCATCCAAAAGAGTTTGGACGAGGAAGGCGAGTCTCCATTTGACCGCGAGGCAGCCGGTAAGGTCTCGGGGACCCATGCTGATACGGGTGTTACATCGCCGGGACGTTTAGGTGGTGAACGAAAGGCAGTCCCAGCACCACCTCCACGAAGAGGGCATGCGAGAGCAGAAAGCAAAGCGAACGCTGCACAGCATTACGTACAGAACGACGAGAATCTGTCGCGATCATCGTCTATGAGATCTCGGCCGGAACATAAACGTCAAAACTCGCAAGCCGGAGCCCCTCCACCACCACCACGGAGGTCTCATGTCTCAAAGCATTCCACTCAGTTACCGACAGGTACAAACTCCAGCTTTGCAGATCTTAGCCAATCGTCCTCTTCTCCAGCCCCGTCTCTAGATGTTGACTTTAGTACGACTTCGACTTCATCACAGCTGCGTCAAGGCTCGACTCTTGACCTGACCTCCCCTCGAGATGGACAGCATCCGACACCAAAGTCTTCGGCTCCTCCACCACCACCTGCGCGAAACACTTCTGTTAGACGGCCCGCTAGTATTCGAAGTGTTGAAAGTAGCAGCCGGCGAGTTTCATTTGAAGCAAAACCGTATAATCAGATGGCTCCGCCCCCACCTCCTCGAAGGCAACGAGGTAGTAGCAAAGGTAGTATAGATGGACCAAGAAGGACAAGTCTTGATAGTGTAGGCAGGGCTGGATCTAGTCAAGTCCCCGAGGAGGAACATGACGCGGTGCCAGAGATGATTGGTTCGGGTCACACATCACCAAAAGCAACGAATGAGCCAGGAAAGAGCTTTGACATCTTGGCTGATCTCGACGCCCTTCAAAGGGAAGTAGATGCATTGAGGGGCAAACTAGGATGACGAGGAACGCGTACGATGAAGTTGCATGGAATGGAAGGATGGCGGAATGTCGATGGTTGTACAAGAAGAGCGTGGCAATATGCAGTTGAAGCTCCAGTCTCACTGTGAGCCGAAGAGGAGCAGAATATTATACAGATGTGATATTATGCGGGCGTTTTCATGGAAAGGACTCTGGTATGTTAGAGCTGTGTGATTGGTCTCGATTTATGTCTGTACGGGAAAGGTGTTGTAGAAGCAGCTTGAGATGCAAGGGGTGGTCTGCAGCTGAGTTGCCAGAAGTAGGCAGGCATGCATTCGAATCTTTAGCACAATGGATGGATGGATGTTTGGTGACCACGAAGAGCCTGAGTTTGTAATGTGTGTGTTTCCACCTTGAACTTTGGCTTTGAATGTGCTGTGTTGTGTTACTCAGACACAGCCACACAGTCTCTATCGATGGACTTAGATATGAGTCGTCGGGGACCCCATGTTGCGTGCTAAGTTAGTTGTAGTTTGGCGTCTTGAACCCCGAAGGATCCGTGATGACTTGAGGCGTATGACCTTACGTGCGATGTAATGCTTATACATGGATAAACCGTTATAGTATGTGTTTATGCGATGAAGGAAGTGCATCAATAAACCCGACACTAGCAATTAGATCAATAATTGGGCATTGAGTTTCATCATCAACCAGCTTCATTTTATCGTCTCTGTACAAGTCACAATCGTTCGTTGTCAATCTCGTTTGTGTCAGGTCGCATTGGGCAAAATGATCAACATGGTGAGAGGTCAGAGGAGAAGAGGGGGAGGGGCAAGTCTGGCGCCGTCCTTTGATTCTGATTGGAAGAAGCAATGATCATCGCTGCGACTAGGGGAATTTTGGCAGAAGGGCGCACGGAAATGGAGGGTTCTTTTATTCGAGAAGCTTGGGGTTGGCGTCAGGGATCATTTATTAAACTGTCACCACCGCCTCGTTTACAGGGCGAAGATGGAGGGAGTCGGTGAGGGGGGCCAGAGAATTGGTCAGAGTACGACAGATGTTTATTCATTCATTCATGTTAAAGATACATAGTTACATGTTTGTCTGTCAAAGAGATTGATTTATAATACAACCCAGAAAGAGTTGATATGACTGTCACAAAGCTGCTCATTAAGAAGACGCTATTCTATCGTTCGCGCAGTCAACACATCAAATATCGTCATGTTTCAAATAAACAAACGGCTACTAATACATACTTCGGCACATGTACCGCAACCAACCCAAAAACAGACTGGATAAGCGACCCATGCTTTACTACGGTACTTGTGCCTTGGTAGTATAACATAACTAAGCAATGGGGACCCTCACATGGATCCATGAGACCAAAAGCCGACCGTTCCCCTCTTTTCAACGGCTCCGTTCTGATGGTAGCTAAGTTGAAACACTATGGGGAGCTCATGGATGGGTGAATGGATGTATGTATGGGTGCCTCGCTTTAAAGAGATCCCTATCATGACACGACAGCTCAGGTCGTGTCACGCTTGAATGAGCATGTAACTCTACTACTAAAAGGTATATCCTCCATCAAGGTATATCTATCCAACTTGGGTACCTTAGCGATCTACTTTAACCTGGCAAGGTAGCATCCACCTTATCTCACCTCGTCCCTCTTGCTCCTCCTCCCCTTCTCTCTCAAACCTTACTCTTCTTCTTGTTTCCCTCGCTTTTATAACTACTCCATCCTCCCTTCTTCTCAAGCGCTTGACTCTCCCCTTATTTAACAATCCTTTCTTAATCCTTACTTCTTTTCTTGACTATTGTTGATCCAAATTTCTGTATCTAAGACTTTGTCTACCTCGGCTTCTGTCTACACTTACATGCCTCTCCACTTCGCATCCCGCTTCTTCCGTGCTATATCATTACACTGGCTCCCTTGTTAAATCGTACAACAAACCCTCATCTTTTCGTCCCTTCCTCAAACCAAAAATGTGCTACTCCAATCTTGGTACTCTCGTCTGCCAAGCTTGTGGTCGTCGTGTAGGCGAACAGCCCGTGGGAACTTCACCTTGCCTCGCTATCTGCGGCAAATACGTCTCGCGCGTCACTGGCACCGTCGTCAGCGGTGAATGCGGCGTCTGCAGCGAAGCAAAGGAGCACAGGACCCAACTCACCACGAGGCTCAACCGTGCTTTTAGCAAGTGACGCATTGCGGCATTATCCCAATTCATTAGACCATACCCTCCCAAGCCATCTATCTGCAAGGTATCTCACTTTGCTACGACATACAATGGTAAGCTCTGCTTACACCTCATTGGAAAAAGGGACCCCTGGACTGACGTGTCAAGCAAGGGTGACATCAAGGCTCTATGAACTAGAATTGAGGTAAATGGTCTGGCTTGGGACGCGGCTTCCACGATATTTATATCCGTTCGAAAGCCGACACTCATACAAAGAGACCATACCGCACACTAGTTTTTTCTTATCTGGTTCCCTTTCACGCTTTACGACTCATGCTCTTACGATATGCACGGCGGCGTTCATGGCATATGCTTACTTTGGCCTTTTGGTTTGCAACTTGGATGGAGTATGGAGGAGAGGTCTGCGAGCCCAGCGGTGGAACAGGTGTACAACACTGGCTCACAATTTTTATAATTTTCTTTACTATACCCAAGATGGTCGTTGTTCAACGAGTTCCCGATAATCATGTTTCTTATTCACCATATGCCACGCGGCACGACATCGTGTGGAGTCTTTGTCATGGGACCTTGATGTAAAACGACGGTGTGCAAGCGACTAACGTGATAAGTAGCGCACACTATATAGTAGCTGGCTCATTGACCGAGGTTATAGAGCCGTACTGTTATCGTTGATCGTAATGTCGTGCATTATTTTCCTTTGGGTAATTGAAATATCGATGTCATTTTTCCTAAACCCAGAACCATCTGCATCTGTCGGTTTATATATGCAAACATAAATCAATAGCCAAAATCGCTCCCCTAAACCTCTAGCCTATAAAGCAAACCATCGTATCTAACCTAGGTATTTCGAGAATCAATACCAAAGTAGATATGTTCATTTTATGTCCCCACCCATATTTGCTCCGGGCGCCGCGTGACAAACCAAGACTTATAAGATCATTCATAAACCTACAAATCCTCGTACAAATGTTGCTGCAGGTGGTATGGAAGTGAACAAGACAGTGATTGTTCCAAACAGACTCATAGACAAACTCGACAAAGCCGCAGCTCGAGGGTCAGTCCGTAACAACACGGACGTTGCGATGGCGCTCGAGTTAACGCCCAGTGTCACTCCGCGAGTCACGTAATCATCCTCGGGAACTTGCAGCCAGCGCAATATACGCCCTCCAAGTACAGCACCCAGAATTCCACTGATGATAGCCAAAGCAGCTGCTGTATTGACATCGCCACCGAGATTCACAGTCGCGGGGACGGCGAGTGCGAGTGTCAGGCTGCGCGATGCAAATGCGAGACTGCGGGCTGCCGAGATGCCGCATGCGTAACACAAGGGCGGGTATGCCAGCAGAGAACCCACGCTAATGGCAACGTTTGGCACGACAATGGAGATGAAATGCGTACGAAGCTCACGACGGTACTGAAACATGGGTAAGGCGAGGGCCACGATGCTGGCGTCGAGAAGAGTGCCAAAGACGTCCCCTGCACCGGGAAGAAGATCCTGCTTCTGTGCTGCGCGGCGCCATAACTCTATGTACTTTGCTCCAGTACGGTATGCGTGAAGTGTGAATGTCAGGCTATCGCTGCGAATTGCTGCAAGTGCCCATATGACGAACACAGTCGCGAAAGACGATACTAGAACTGGATGGAGGAACTGTTTCCACTTGGGAGGAATGGCCATGGCAGCAAACCAAGCGAGAACGTTGACAGCCAGATGAATGGGCATACCGTAACCAGTCGAGTAATATATAGGGATGCCAATAAAGAAAAAAAGTCCCACGAATGTCGCCACATCGATGTTTGCAGAAATACGCGCCGCCCACAACTCGACCTTGGGCGGCGGCAAAGGAATTTGTGGGAGGACAGTAGGTATGTTGAGAGATTCAACTGAATTATCAGGAGCGTTACCATTCGAGTAGTGATGTTCCTGGAGCCGTAACTGTGGCGGAGTCTGAGGACGGGTTGGTGCTGCCGAGGCTGGTCCTGAACCCGGCACTGATGCAGATACAAGGGGAATCTGCGAACCAGTATGGGAGATACTTGTACGGCGTGAGATACCAGGAGTTTGAATCTCACATATCGGAATGTCTGGAGTCTGGCGACCGAGTTCTTCAGCTCGCTGAGATTTGGAACGTCTTGAAACGCCGAGAGCAAGTTGAAGAGTGCGAGTGATCCAGGCTACCAGAGCCATCATGACAAAAAAGCCGATAACTACTAGATTTAGACATATATCGAGAATTTTGTCATATTCCCGACTTACTGAAAATTGCAATGATGATCATGACCTCGACAATTCCTATGGGTGGACTCAGAGGTAGGAGGACAAATGATGGTGTAAAGAAGACGCCCATCCATCGAAGTGACCAGCCAGCCTAGAGATATCAGAGCTGATTGATGGTAAGTGAGTTTGCCATTGACTTACGGGCACATCGATAATATTGATCAACTCTCTCGTTTTATGAATCCCTAATAATGACTCACTGGCGATAAGAGCAAGGAATAGCAACATCATGCAAGTGACAGAAGCAGGGAATGCAACATTGAAATTGTGAAATAGTGAATCGATTCCAAAACAAGCTGCAAGCATTACTGTGATTCCCAATGGTACATAGAACCAGGCACGCAGGAGTTTGGTGCTGTTGTTTTTGGCAGCCTGTATCCCACAATTAGAAATGGGTTTCCTTGTGAAAGTGATGTTCATACCAATCTGATGGCTTGAGCCAATTGAATAACATCGTTGGGTTTTACTGTCATTTTGCCGTGTGTGCATGTATTAAACTCGTCATATTTCATAGAGGGAGCGTATAATGTGAGCTGGCCCAGTACCGAACGTCCGAAGACCCTGGTCATGTGTGTTAGTGTCGACGATCCTTCCGTCATCAATTATCAAAATAAGAACCTTTAAATTCGACAGTTTATTATCGACAATAGGTACATAAACGATAGGATTTTAACCATTGCGTTCTCTTTTTGTCTGCAGCCCTCTATTTATGACTCGGCCTCTGCGCGGGAGGTTCGGGTAATCGTTCCGAGGATACAATCAGAAAGATAAGGAACGGACTTGAACTACCGTGGTGTGATTATGGCAAGGAGCAACTGACGATGCACTTCTTGTGCACAATTTATAGCAGGAACGGCTTTCAGATTACGTACCTACCAGATGCGTGATGTATTGGCCATTAACCACAGAGATGGGTTTTCCAACTGCAAATCCTTCGCTTCCCTGATATTATTACTCAATTCCGACCTTAGTTATCACCTGATCATCATATCATATCTCCCTTGACGATATCTTTACCAAGTATGTGATGTTCAGATCGGTCCGACGTCGATGATATGAATTCTTCTTCAACTCGTGCAGGAAACCTACAACCGACCAAGGAAACCTCGAATACAATCAACACCTACCTCACGCCTGGGTATGGGGGAAGCCGAACACGTCGTCGCGCATCGAGGCATCAAAATGCTTCAAATATACTTCAACGGCAGACTGAATACGGCTCTGAAGAGATAGACATTGCTCTTCATGGTCCGTCTTTCAATATGATGAATCAAGACCAAGCTATGCAGTCTTGTCCAGAGCTGGGCTGTCGGCATAGCCATTCGTGGGTAAGCTTACTTGACTATGATCTGTGCAGAATCTCTTGTTGAAACAGGATTATGCAGCATTCGGCCCCAACTTCTAGAGACCCTCATAGCAACACTTACCAAAGCACCCCTTTGTCTCAACCAATAACTCCGACGAGTCTGCTGCATCGGCTGGATGGTCGCCTTCGACAAACGTACTTTGAATCTCCCTTTGGATCAAGTCGATCGCTGTCCGTTTCTTCACTAGACGACTCAGCAGACGATTCCAGATCCCAAGCTGGCAAAGAGCGCAGACGAAGGGCACGCGACTCAGAAGTTAATCGACATCACAGCAACTCGTCAGCTGACGATTCGGCATCGGTACCGATCATGTCGGCTCCGGCAGTTCACGAAGGAACCCGTCAGTTGGCTGTAGCGGGGGTAGTCTTGGGGGCATTAGAGCTTGACCGGCTGAGCCTCATGGCAAGAGTAGACGAAGAAAAAGGGAAGTTCAGATCTAGATCCAAGTCCAAGTCCAAGTCAAAGCAGAAACAAGTGTAAGGTACAGAAGAGGCATAACGTCGAGGTGGCAGGGGGTTTCCTATCTGAGCCAGCTTGGTCTGCAACTCATGTCGATCATTGGATGAGGCATGGATGCCTCGATTCATTAGGTACGTAGCATAGCTCAGCTGCATCGGTATACAATCAACATACCCCGAATTAATTATCGGCAAGATTGTTTATGGACCCGAAACCACCTAAATCAGGGCAATGTTTCTCATGCATTCAAGTGCCACTTGTATGCACTTGATTCAATTGGTGATAGTTCAAGGGTCGTGGGATGCCTCGGTTCCGGGGTCAAAAGCTGGGGTATAGTGACTGAGGGGCCGGCTCCGGTTCGCGTCGGATGACTTCATCTAGTGGACTTCTATTGCCGGCGCCCTTTCGTCAGTCGACTTGAGCCCCGAATTGCTTCACCTTTAAAACTACTCGATTCCGCCTGGCGATCTCGTTCGGTTGCAAACAACAACCAATTCGACCTACAGCCTCTCCCACATAATGTTTCGCCCTATCCTCAGACAATGCGCTCAAAGAGCTGCCATTCCTCTGCGGCCATGCGCTACACGAACATTTGCCTCGGCATCAGGACCAAGCTTTAACTGGGAGGATCCCTTGGCCTCCAATAACCTCTTAACTGAGGAGGAACGGGCGATTGGAGATACTGCAGAGAGGTACTGCCAGGAACAATTATTGCCCCGCGTTCTGAGTGAGTTACTTACAACTCCATTTTCACCGGGACTGTGCTGATGTTCATGTCTTTTAGAGGCCTACCGTGACGAATCCTACGATCCCAAGATTCTCGAGGAGATGGGTGAGCTCGGACTGTTAGGTGCTACAATCGAGGGTTATGAGTGTGCAGGCGTTTCTTCTGTTGCTGGCGGTCTAATCACCAGAGCTGTGGAGAGAGTCGACAGCGGCTACCGATCTGGCATGTCCGTTCAGTCTTCATTGGTGATGGGTGGTATATACGAGCATGGATCTGCTGAGCAGAAGGAGAAGTTTCTCCCTAAAATGGCCAAAGGCAAGATGCTAGGTGCTTTTGGTCTAACAGAACCCAACCATGGCAGTGACCCTGGAAGCATGGAGACAGTGGCCAAGCCACACCCTACCAAGAAGGGTTACTACTCTCTAAGCGGCGCAAAGACATGGATCACCAACAGTCCCATCGCAGATGTGTTGATGGTGTGGGCAAAGCTGCAAGAGACTGGCAAGATTCGGGGTTTCCTAGTAGAACGCAAGGACTGCCCACCAGGTACCCTCGAGACACCAGCCATCAAGGACAAGAACGGACTTCGTGCTTCCATCACGGGCATGATCCAGCTCGACAACTGCCCTGTACCAGAAAACAACATGTTCCCTGAAGTTGAGGGTCTCAGGGGTCCCTTCAGTTGCTTGAATAACGCTCGATATGGCATTGCAATGGGTGTTATGGGCGCTCTGGAGGACTGCCTCGCCCGCGCTCGAACATATTCTCTTGAACGAAAGCAGTTCAAGGGTAACCCTCTTGCCAGATACCAGCTTGTGCAGAAGAAACTCGCCGATGCATCAACAGATGCTGCCTACGGCACACTCGCCGCTATCCAGGTTGGTCGTCTCAAGGATGAGGGCAAGGCGACACCTGAGATGATCAGCATGGTGAAGCGACAGAACTGTGATACGGCTTTACGAAACGCACGTCTCCTCCAGGAGATCTTTGGAGGTAATGCGGCCAGCGATGAGTACATGATTGGTCGCCATGTGGCAAACCTGTTTGTGACTCAGACATATGAGGGCCAAAGTGATATTCACAGTATGTTTTACTGCCTTATTCGATATTTTGACAATTGCTTACAAACATATCACAGGTCTCATTCTTGGTCGAGCTATCACTGGTATCCAAGCGTTTGTGTAAAACATGAAAATAATTGGTAAGGAGGCGAATATAAATGCATACCCGTATTATAGATGCTTGGAAATCAGAACATAATCTGCAAACGTATGCTATCCAATCACGTATTCTGTTCTTGATGGTTCTCAAACAAAGCTGCATGAAAAACGGCCATGTCTAGCTGCATCACTAGCCGACATGGATGTCTGGTTTTCCTTCTTTATTTTGACCTCCAACGCTTGGTGTTGGGATACCCACTTGGTTTGTTGTTAAAGAGAAACCCTCAACCCTCAACCCTCACCGCAGTTCAAACTAAGTGACGTTGTTGGCGACATGCCATCCACAACTTTGAGGCCAATACTAGATAGACTTGTAGGGAACGAACCGGCGATGCCGCTCAGGCGTCTGCATCCGTATCCGGGTCCAGGCACGGGAGGCTTTGGCTGTGCACTTTGCTTCTTACCGTGATCCCCATGGCAAGTACCTAGGGGTAGTAGGCGCAGTCAGAGTAGCCGTACTTACTAAATGACGTTTGACTAGGTACATAGTAGAGAGATGAATCATGAGCAAAAATAGCAGAATCATGTGGAATCCCCATAACAAAGAATATGGTTTTCCTTGCCGACCTCGGCCGCCACTTGTACTGTACATGTAGTCCATTTAGTACTACTCACCACTGCTGAACTTGGGCTTCAGCTGTGTAGTTCAGACGATGCCTAGACCATTCCTCTATGTAACAAGTCATGGTAAATAAGCATTTGATAATTACAAGCCATCGAAACCGGGCGAAGGATATGGCGACAGTCGGTAACGAAACCAAGCCTACTACATGCTGGCTGCTGTTATGATGCCCTCCACTGTTATCAAAGCCCAACGTAAAAATCTGTAGCCAGCTGTTAGTGCTCGGGTACCACTAAGCACTGATTCGCTCCCCAAGCTAAAAGTTAGTGGCGGTGTCCTCCATTTCAGCGGGCTGAGGCCCATGTGTGGCCCAGTCACAGCATTCGAGCGCCTGAAAAACCTGACTTTTCGGGCTTCCAGAATCCAGCCAGGCGACAAGGGCAGGTGCCAACGCAGCCACTCACTCCTTCCGCTTGTTCTTTGTTGACCCTCCTGCTCCTGGTTTGGTCCCCCCCCACTCTCCTGCCTGCTCCTCCCACTTCTCAGGTTTCCTACCTTCCCGACCCCATTCTTAACGAACCATCTTCCTCCAAATCCCGCCTCTTCTACTCTTTCAGCCTTGACTGAATTTCTTTACGCTGACATATAGTCGACAATCCAGCAAACTTCTCTCCCTCAACACATAAATACGACTTGGTCTCCTGTTTTATTACATCAGGACGACCTCTTCTTTGCAAATCGTGCGTTACCTCGAATCCTACCCTTCTTTCTCCCGACCGCTCGTCTTGACAACCCCTCGACTAACGCTTGTCTCAACCCTAGAACGACCGCGATAACTCGCAACACCTATCTTAGATACCCCCTTCTACACATCAAAAATGGCTCTTAAGCGTATTAACAAGGAGTTGACTGATCTCGGCCGGTAAGTTCGCTCTCGTACAAAGTCTGAGGGGTCAACCTGGAAGCCCAAGACGTCAGGTGGGGGCAACTTGGTAAGCGGGGTCTTGAGTGACGACCTGCGATACCATACCGAAAACCCTCGATGGCGTTGAGCCCTCACGACTATCTCGTCTTCACGATGAACATATGCTGATTCCCCCCCGCAGAGATCCTCCCTCTTCCTGCTCCGCTGGCCCTGTTGGCGAGGATCTGGTAGGCATTCCCCCACACCGATAAGCATGTGGCTGTCAAAGTCGTCATGGCTACGGGAAGTCTCCGTCCTGCTCCATGCAGGACACATTCGATCACGCGACTAACATGCATGAATAGTTTCACTGGCAAGCTACGATTATGGGTCCTGTAAGCTTTTCCCCCGACTTGGTATGAGGATGCGCTGCCCAGCAATATGGCTGGCTTATGGGCGGACGAAGCCCTCAGCCGCATGCCGGTGCATCCGTATCCTCATCCTCAACCAGCAAACAAGAAAGAAACATTTTGGCTGACCAGAAATCTTTAGTCTGACTCCCCTTACTCCGGCGGTGTCTTCTTCCTTGCGATTCACTTCCCTACCGACTACCCCTTCAAGCCTCCCAAGGTCAACTTCACCACACGCATCTACCACCCCAACATCAACTCCAACGGAAGCATCTGCTTGGACATTCTCCGAGACCAGTGGAGCCCTGCTCTGACCATCTCCAAAGGTATTTGGACGCTGAGAACCTCTTTGGTTACTTCTGAGTACTAACATGTCAACTAGTTCTTCTGTCCATCTGCTCAATGCTAACGGATCCTAACCCTGACGACCCTCTGGTGCCTGAGATCGCCCATGTCTACAAGACTGACCGACCCCGATACGAGGCCACAGCCCGAGAGTGGACTCGAAAGTACGCCATTTAAATGACGATATGGACGAAGGCGGTTGGACCTTGAGTCGATTTGTTTTCCCTATCATGAGCGACGTGAAACGATCGAGTGGAAGCTTCGCACGGCGTTGCGATATGGCTTTAGTCGGCGTGACCTAGAAGGATGTTTTTGCCTGTATCGAGGCTTCAACTGCGGTTGACGAGACAGCAAGCAACGCTGAAGGGAAGAAAGACACCAGACAAACAGACTAGTTATTAAGGGATATCATGCAGCTGGATTTTAGGTTTGCATTGACGATGTGTTTTTGGCATCCAGAAACAGGCAGCGTATACAATTTGTCTCTTCAACCAGCAATGACTTGGCTGTGAATGTGCCGTGATGATTGCAAATGTTGGTGACATGCTGAATACTTGATGCCTGGGCGCGAACAATGACCCAATGGAGCCCAGCAGTGGCCACTTGAGTAAGAATACTGCGTCTATGATGCACGGGAGTTAAGCGCTAACAGGGTCATGGTTGATGACGAGAAAGGTAACATGGAGCGCGCTACTGGTCAGGGACTCGAATTTGGGCATCTGACATGTCTCGAGATCCAGTGTGGAGATCACGACAATGCTTGTATGGTTGATTTGTTTGATGTCTTTGGAGGAGAAGATGCAGTGGTTCTGGGGCCACGTGCAGGACTATAGTGGCGAGCTGAGAACAGTCTTGGCAAGTAACTGCCAAGTTGAGCTTACGATTCGTGAGGATACGTGATGTGAAGACATCCACATAGACAATAACAGTGCCGAGATGGTACATGTCTCGGATGGGGGACTGAAACGCAATGAGACAAAGCTGCAACGGGCTGCTGATATGGGCCATAGGTTTGTTCATGATGTTTCCAAAACTTTGGAGAGGCAAGTTTGAAGATACGAAGGCTTGTTGTGGCTTTTGGAAACAATTATGGATCGGAGAATTTTGGATCTTGTTTAGATGTGAGACGGGGGAGGTCATCTTGACTTTGGATATCGCTGTCAATGCAACATTAAGATGTTTAATTATCGAGAGCGCAGGAGGCGTAATCAGAAACCCATCCTATAGTATCTTAGATAATTGTTAAGCTCTTTCCCCCTTTGCACTTTCATGCCTAGAGATCAAGCTGTGATATCCTCGGAGTCCTGTTGTAGGTGAAGTTTCTACTATCTGCAGGCCTCCATGACTTTCTGGGTTCGCACTAGCAAGGATTTTAGATGTCAACGCCTGTTGATGGAGATGATTAAGTTAAACCCTTGCTTTTCGATCCCGCGTAAGTAATTAAGTCTTCAGCAGATAGATTAATAATTAATCGTTGCCCTACGGATAGTATCGATGCCTTCAGGATGTACGGATATCTCTTGATTTGAACAGCTGGGGATAGTTACGCACCTTACTGGTCGTGCCACTCATCGGCCGAGATTTGAAAGCGTGACCCCACTCTCGGTGCGACATGCCAGGGAGAGCTAGGTCTTGTCAAACCTGTAACACCGGGGTTTCAGACCAGACCAGACGTGGTCAGGCATTGATAACAGCCAATCATTCATGGCTTTTGATGATTTATGAGGAAAAGACTCATGCCATATTTTGCTGGCCATGAGGTGATTACTTCAGTTTATCAAGAGATGTTTATTTTTTGACTGGATATTTAATAACTCTCAATCTATACTGTCTACAGAATCTAGTCGCCAGAGGCTAAAATTTGTAGTTGTGTAATGTCCCGTTCCCCCTGATCTGATGCAGTCCCAACTTCTAGACCCTTGGTTGGAACCATGCCTGACACAGAACAACTCCTTGAATGGCGTGTTTTTACTCACAGGGACAAAAGAGTTCTTACAGCCTCTCGCTAGAATGTTATAGGTGCATGCCAAGCGCTAACCCTGGACACTCGTTGTCTGTGCCTGGTATCAAGTCCGTCCACCAAACTCCGTTTTTTCCCTCTCATTCCCTGGAGCATATCCCGTAGAAAGGGAAAAGGGTAGTAGCAATAAGATATACTTACGTAGTACTATCACAGCAGCTAAGACCCGGGTTCCCATTGTTTGAGCTTTCCATCACTTAGTTCTAAGAAACCCTTGCCTCTTTTCTCCTCTTCCCGTTCTCTCTCCCATTCATTCCTTTTTCCATCTTCCTGCTTGGGCCGTGACGGTGAGATGAGCATATCGCTTCTCTATATGTTTGTTTAATCTTCAAGCTCTAGACAGCAACTATTTTTCTATTCTGTTCGCTTCTTGTTTATACTATTGGGAACCCCCATCTTTCGTCGTCCGACCGAATCTATTACATCTACTCATCTGTTCAGCTGGTTCTGAATATCGACACAATCGCTTGGAAATTATTTACTGTTGGACGATTTTGGTAAAACGAGGATAAAAAAAAGACATTCGCGACTGGAACAAATACTCAACAAGACTCAACGTGGGATACCAATTAAAACCCGACTCGGTGGTTGATTCAACCGTTTCTTGCTCAAGATGAGCTATCAAATGCAGGATTGGTCCGAGAAGCCGTCGGAACGATCGCGATGGACTCCCCTTACGCGCATGCTTCTCTCTGGTGAGATGACACAGGAGAAGCAACAGGAACTATCGTCAAGAGAAAAGTTTGATCGCTGGATGATCAACGAGGGCTACCGAAGATTGTAAGTCAAGAATCACATGTCGAATGACTGAGACGGTCTAGTTCCACATGGTTACTAACTTCATTATTCAAGCTTCGTCTTTGTCTTTATGCTTCTGCACGCCCTCATCTTCTCCTTCGCCTGCGTGCACTACGCCCAAAAGGAAAGTCTCGAATCTTCACGCCAGACGTTTGGTTTCACTTTCATCATTGCTCGTTCAGCCGCCCTGGTTCTCCATGTCGATGTCGCCATTATTCTCTTCCCCGTATGCCGAACTCTCATCTCTCTTCTGCGCCAGACGCCGCTCAATGGAATCCTCCAATTCGACAAGAATATCACCTTCCACATCGTCACCGCCTGGTCCATCGTCTTCTGGTCCTGGGTCCACACCATTGCTCACTGGAACAACTTCGCCCAGGTCGCCATCAAGTACAACCTTGGTATCTATGGATGGCTGCTTGCTAACTTTGTGTCTGGCCCCGGATGGACGGGTTACGTGATGCTCATTGCACTGATGGGCATGGTTCTCACGTCGATGGAGAAGCCCCGACGAGCAAACTTTGAACGTTTCTGGTACACCCACCACATGTTCATCGTTTTCTTCTTCTTCTGGTCGATCCATGGAGCTTTCTGCATGATTCAGCCCGACGTTGCCCCCTTCTGTACCAGCATTGGATCGTCAGCCATTGGAGTCTTTTGGCAATTCTGGATGTACAGTGGTTTCTGCTACCTGGCCGAACGTATTGCGCGTGAGGTGCGAGGTCGTCACAGGACATTCATCTCCAAGGTCATCCAGCACCCCAGCAACGTCTGCGAGATCCAGATGAAGAAGGAGCACACCAAGACGCGAGCTGGTCAATACATCTTCCTCTGCTGCCCTGCCGTGTCGCTCTGGCAGTACCATCCTTTTACTTTAACCAGTGCCCCTGAGGAGGACTACATCTCCATCCACATGCGTTGCGTCGGTGACTTCACCAAGGAGCTTGCTAAGTCTCTGGGTTGTGATTGGAGCAAGAAGAAGGATGCTGGTGATGCTAGTAAGGTTGTCGGTCTTACAGGCCGTGAGGCTGAAATCGACCCTGCTATCCGTCGTGTCCTGCCCAGAGTCTACGTTGATGGTCCCTTTGGTTCTGCCTCTGAAGATGTCTTCAAGTACGAAGTCTCCGTCCTCGTCGGTGCCGGTATCGGTGTGACGCCCTTCGCCTCCATCCTCAAGTCCATCTGGTACCGAATGAACTACCCTCAGAAGAAGACACGACTATCCAAGGTTTACTTCTTCTGGATTTGCCGTGACTTTGACTCGTTCGAGTGGTTCCGCTCGCTGCTTCTCGCCGTCGAAGCTCAAGATCTGGACCACCGTATTGAGATTCACACCTACCTCACAGCCAGGATCAAGGCCGACGATGCGACAAACATTATGATCAACGACGCCAACGCTGACAAGGATACTATCACTGGTCTGCGCAGCCCGACCAACTTTGGTCGACCCAACTGGGACATGATCTTTAGAGGTATCAGGAAGATTCACAGCCCTGCCGAGGCAGGTGTGTTCTTCTGTGGTCCCAAGGGTCTGGGAAGTTCACTGCACACGTATTGTAACAAGTACACCGAGCCTGGGTAAGTTTTTATTTTGTTTTTGCAGGTATCATCTTCTAACGTGCACACAGATTCTCTTTCGTCTGGGGCAAGGAGAACTTCTAAGCTTTGCGTATTTATGACCATTGTTTAAGCTTAGGGGGACGGATAGTTGAGTTTGTAATAGCAAAAGCAAGACAACCGTTTTGAGTAGACTTTTTTTTCTTAAGGGGCCAGTTATAATATGTGGTCTTGTTTGGCGTTGTCATTTTAATACAGTAGAAACAGATGTTATACCTCACTAAATCAATACGATACAAGCATTTTCTGAACATTCAAGCACGCTGCTGGCATCCGCTAGTCCTTTTGTTCGGTTCAGAATACGAAAGCTCACGAATGGCGGAGGAATGCTACCAGCCTCATACGTAACTGCGAGTTACCGTTATGGAGGCGCAGGTATCCGTTGAGGAGAGTACCGACCGCTCGGAAGTGCTGACGTTAGACAATGACTGATTTTGCTTGCCATGGCCCATCTGAAACGTTTCACATGTGCGGAAAGTAACTTATAGCCACATCTTATGACCAAGGGTAGAGGAATCCTATAGGCTACAGATGATGTAGATGACGCTGGCCAGTGTTGCGGATAGAGCGGCCGAGGGAGGGACTATTCATTCTTGATGGTGAACAGAAAGGAAGACAGGTATGTTTGACGATTTGAAAGCCATCATCGGTAAAGTCACGAATGCCGGGAATTCTTCAGTCTGTAGGCGCCACGATCATGCAAGCAGGCCCAACGGCTGATATGTGCATGTCTCACCACTTGACAACGTGTTGAAGTGCAGAAAGTGGCTGATGAGTGAGAAGCCAAGAAAGGGAGTTACCGATATAGAAGCGGGAATGGCTTTTAAGAGGTATGCCAACTTGGATGGATGCAGCGTAGTGGATGTTCCAATGATAATGCATAGCATCCGTAGTATGCATGTGCTTACGGTGAGGCCGATGCAACCATCCAGATGAATTGATACATGGGAAGGGAATGCGAAGCCGAATGACTTCTTTATTTTTGTTTCCAATGTTGATGAAGGAGAGACTAATCTCGTTAGTTCGTGTAGTTGATTTGGATTGATTTTATGAATGCCATGAATTCTCGCGTATGTACGGCAAGTACCCTTTCTTGGCTACTGGGCCTAGTGAAGACCCTGCAGATCGTGAGTTGTTAGTGAGACGGGTACTAATAATGACAATGAATATGAAATCGAACAAATCTTTTGCTTTATGAAGAAAGTGATCTCATATTGAATTGCATTCCCATTGGTATTTATTATTCAGCAATAGAGACTCATCATAAAAGGTGCCACTTTGGGGCCCGACCCTGAGCTAAACCGCCCCGGAGTCGATGCCCTGACAATGCCCCGCTACTTATGGAGGTTTTAGGTCGGCCAGACAGCCAAAGCTCCGGCATGACCTCGTCTAACCTGGCAGATACGAGCTCATTTGACCATGAGCAAATTGATGTCATTAATGGACAATTAAAGATGTGAATCTGCAGACAGTCAAAGCGATACTCTAGATCTACTCTGAACTGCACAATCACTTTCCAAAATGTGACCTTTATTGATGATTACCCGATAAACAATGTACAGCCCTCAGCAACGTTTCAACGATTCTCTCTAGCTCTCAACGCCACCTCCCTGATGGATGGTAGCCATCAAGATAGTTTATGTTTAGTCTCCTACCCATAACAATTGAAAAATATCTCATGTGCGTCTTGACAACTTGAAAACTGCAAGCTATAGGTGAATATCATTTCTGGGCATCTGTCACGTTTTTGCCTCGCTTCATAAATGATCAGCCATGATCAGCAGGAGAAGACGACAAGAATAATAAGAATCACCATTGAAAAAGAGTCCAAGATACTTGCATCTCGCGTACATCTCGTAAATAGAACACTAGTAATCTCAAAGGGGTCGAGGCGCAGCGCCATGACAAACGAGCTAGTCTGTAAAGAGAAGATATGTCAGGGGTCTTTGTACATGTGCTCTTCTTTCTGTTGTACATATAGTACGTATCTATACGTGTACACACAATGAATGAATGAATCATTCCCCTTCCCCGTTCAGACCAGACCAGGCCATGCGAGCAAACACAAGCAGACAGGAAGCAGTGACAGTGTCACTTTGGAGAACAGTAAAAGACGGGACCATGGAAGTACAGAGATGAGGCTGCATTCGTTACACCTAATCACAATCACTGCATAGAACTCGACCTGTTCTACTCTGCATCAATCCAACAACGTCGACCTCAACGCCAATCTACCTCTACGCATACCAACTGTCACAAATGCTTGGCTCTTGACTACTCGTCTCGTGTTCTCTTGCATCTTCTCCAATAGGAAACCCCTATTGCATTGAGTTTCTGCAAAATGTGCAGGGGCTCAGGCTACTTTGCCATAAAGTATCTTGTACATTGTCACTGTAAAAGTCCGTTCCCCGAAAAGGCACGCACTTGCAGCAATTTTTTCTTTAGTGCAGTGGCCGCTAGACCTACTGGAGCATTTAGGTGGTCACCCACTGTTCGTTCGCTGGCCGCTCAAATCCGCTCTTCCCGCGCCATTCCTTCCAGGGATGGCCCCAACTGCTCATAACTCATTCTCACTCTCAATGCAACTCGACTAACTACGCCTCCCATCCATCTTCTTCATCCGTCCTTCGTTCCATTCCCTTTTTTCCCCCATCTCACCCAACACACACGATCGAGGAGGTTATTCACTGGAATACTACTTGTATTCTTTTACTAACCCCTACCTACCGTTTCTCACACTCGTTCACAAACACTTTCTTCCCTTTTTTTTGTTTCCTTGTCTCTGTTTTTCATTATCGAAGCATTGCCTTTTTTGTCATCGCTTCACGCGCATTCGTTCCTGACTGCCGCGTAACTCCTTATCCACATCGCACAAGCCCGAGACAATCAGCAACAAATCTACTTTGCTCTTTTCGACGACTCCCTACCAGAGACTTTTTTTTAAATCTGAGACGGTCGCTGTTTTCTCTCTTATTGGATTTTGTCTTTCTTTCGAGCCGAACCCTTCTGGGTACACTTCATCCATCTACACGGCCCGTCAACCAGACCATAACTTCATAATCGCCTGCCGTTTAATTGAATCGACAACTTCTCAATATGCAGCTTCGAAAGTTCTTACTTCTGGGCATGCTCGTCGGAGCCGAGGCCACAAAGCTGGTCGCTCGTCAGAACACTGACTCCGACTCGGCTGCCGTGCCCTCAACCGATTCCGCTCCTGCGACCACTGCTGAGGCCGACCCTTCACCAACTGACGATACCGCGACTACGGCTGCTGACCCTACCACCGCCGCCGAGCCTACCGACGATGCAACCACTGCCGCTGATCCCACAACCGAGGAAACCACCGATGCCACTACCACAGCTGGGGACGTTACCGTTACCAAGACAGTTACTGTTACCGATGCTGATGCCAAAACTGTGAGCCGCATGACGACCGTGATGAAAACTATCACCTCTACTGTCGTCGTTACGTCTACCGCTTTCGAGACCGCAACTGTTACTAGCAGCGACGCTGAGACCGCGACCGAGACGGAATTCGTTACCTCTACCCAGTGGGCCAACGAGAAGCGTGCTCTTGATCTTGCTCCCCGAACCATTGGAGGCGCTGAACTCGTTGCTCCCGCCGCGCCTACCGTCACCTCTGTTCCTTACGACTTCCACGTTGAGATCCGTCGTGATCAGTACGGCCTCCGCGCCTTCCGACGAGGCCTTCAGAAGCGTGCCACCATCACCGAGACCGTTACTGTCACCGAGGGAGGAGGCGACAGCGACACCACCGTCTTCAACACCGTCTCCCGAACAGTTATTTCCACAATCAGCAGCCAGACCAAGGTTACCAAGACCCTTACCAAGACTGCCCAGGAAGGTGCCAGTACCACTGTCACTACTACGAGCACCGTTGTTATCACCTCTACTAGAGTGACTACTGGAGTTGTTCGCACAGCGACTGTTGCTCCCTCAGGAGAGTATGGCCCCGCTGGTACTGGTGGCGCCAGCTCCGATGATAGCAACAACAAAAGCAGCAGCAGCAATGATGATAGCGGCCTCTCCACTGGTGCCAAGGCTGGTATCGGTGCTGGTGTTGGTGTCGCTGGTCTGATTGTTATCGGTGGTCTCATCTACTTCTGCCTCCGCAAGCGCCGCAACGCCAAGAACAAGGCTGAGTACGACGATGTCTTTGGTGCATCTGAGGTTCCTGTTGGTGGTCGTGGTGGTGGTGGCGGCGCCGCCGCTGCTGTCGGTACCAGCCCCCACATGTCCCAGACCTCCCCTGCTGCCGCTTCCACTCTGGCCCCTAGCCGCAACACTACTATGTCTGAGGGTTACCGTGGTACTGCCCTTGGCGATGGACGTGCCGGATTCGCCAAGCCTCAGCAGTATGGACGTAACTACGCGGCCGTTAGCCCCGAGACCAACTACTCCCGTACTGCTGGTAGCGACCAAGCCTTCTCAGCCGTCACCCCTGAGAACAACTACGCCAACCTTGCCGGACACTCACCACACAACAACGCTGCCGAGATGTACAGCCCTGCTAACACAGCTGAGCTGGCATCCGACAGCGCTGCTACCAAGTGGCATCAAAATGATGCTGCCGAGATTGACGGTAACCAGGTCTCAAGTGCTCGCGGTACAGCACCGCCTGAGCACGTATATGAGATGCCTGCGCAACCCTATCGGTAAATGAACATGGTGCCATGTGACTAACACAGAGGTCACTGGCAAAGAATCGGATGGAAGGATGAAATAAAGAAAATTCAAAGATGGTTGATGAGACTCCACGTGGAAGATAGAGGAGATTAATTAATGTCACATACTGTACATACTGTGAGCCCATTTACTTTTTTCCTTGCGTTTTATGAGCTTGGGTCAAGCGGACGAGAGCGGGAGATGACATCTTCCATTGAATGCATGACGTTGTATATCTTCTATTCCCACCATTATGGTGAGGACAGACTTGCGGATGATTTAAGGTGTTGATTATAGGTAGATATGCATCAATCAAACGATATTGAAGTCAATTGGGATCTGACGATGTCGTAAGGCCACTTATTGGTCGCTAAAGCTTCGCGACTGTTACTACCTATGCAGCACAACGATATATGACCCGTGGTGGTGGGATAAGATTCTCGTATTACTTGGGTTTGTTTACCTCAGGTTAGCTAGCATATATGCCGTTGAACGATACTCAGCAGATATACCCTTGTCAACGTTGAACATGTCATCCGTTTACCAGTGCTGAATAATCCATTCAAATACTTTACCTGGGTTCAACGACTGCTGAGCTTAATCGTCTGTTATCGGTGACGCCACTTAATGTCGTGCATTGACGGAAGAGCATGTGTAAGAAACATAAAGCGCCCAAGCAACAAGATCGACCTTGATGCCATGAATCTTTGAGTAGCGGTCATAATTCTAGCCTTTCCTAATCATCAAGACCTAATATTGACCAATCTTCGCCACACTTATCAACCAAATAACACAGAACCTAGTATTAACTTCATGGTCCAGAGTAGATCTACTACGCACAGAATCGTCGTCCCACTTCTCAACTATCACTCAGCCTATTATCGCAACACTCAAAGTTACAGTCTATTTTCTACTTAGAACGAGAGGGGGAAATAAAAAAATCTCTCTTTTTTTTGTGCAACCGGACAGGTTTCGGATGAGCTGATTTAGCGGAGAACTTTTCCATTACAAAATCGAAATCTCCCCTTGTCGGGCCGCTCTTCGAAACCTTTTGATACTTTTGTTTCTCATCGAGTTTTTCTCGTCATTTATGCGCCAAGCTTAGCCTAGCTTTTTTCACTGTTCCAGAACGGTTTGTCGCGAGTGGCGCGGTCTTTTACCCCGTTCATCGCGCTCATCCGAGACCTTTTCGTTGCTTGCCTTTCTGTTTTCTTTAAACAGAGGTCAAGGTTTTCTTTTTCTTCTTCTTTTTTTTTTTCTTTTCGTTTCTTTGATTGGAGGGAAAGAAGTCGAGTTCAACTGTAAGTCTTGTGCTGAAATCCTTGTTCGAATTAACTTACTCACAAAACTCCACTAGAAAAGCTATCAATCACTATGGCCTCCAAGGACGGCGGCGAAAATACTACGCCTAGTAGGCGTCACAGTCTCAATGATGAGTGTGATCCCAACTCGGTGGCTGATGAGAAGAGACTTGTTGCTAAGTTGGACTTTTACATTATTCCTCTTGTCATGGTCCTCTACCTCTTCAGTTTCCTAGACCGGTTCGTGCGCGATACTAGTTGAAGGACGATGAAAAAAAGTCGCAATGACTAATTCGAATCCAAACAGAGTTAATATTGGCAACGCTCGACTTTATGGTCTTGAGGAGGATCTTGGCCTTTCGTCGAGCCAGTTCCAGGTTGCTGTGTCTATTCTCTTTGTCACATACTTACTCTTCGAGGTCCCTTCCAACCTCGTTCTTAAGCTCTTCACTCCGCGCCGATGGCTCGCCTTTATCGCTGCTGCATGGGGAATCATCGCCACGCTTACAGGCCTCGTGAACTCATACGGATCGCTGCTTGCATGCCGTCTTCTTCTCGGTGTCGTGGAAGCTGGTCTCTTTCCCGGTTTGACTGTGTATCTCACATTCTTCTATACGAAGCGGGAACTCGCACTCCGCGTGGGTTACCTTTTCGTCAGCGCTGCAGTCGCTGGTGCTCTCGGTGGTCTGCTTGCGTACGGAATCGGTCATATGGATGGCGTGCGCGGCATGAGCGGCTGGCGCTGGATCATGATCATTGAGGGAATTCCCAGCTTCTTGATCGGTATTGTTACATATTTTGCGTTGCCCAATGATGCGGAGACGGCGTACTTTTTGGACGACAGCGAAAAGGCTCTTATGCGCCTGAGGCATGCGCGCGAGTATGGAAACACGGCGTCGAGTCGAGAGTTTAGCAAGAAGGATATGATGTGCGCCTTTAAGGACTGGAAGGTATGGGCGTTTTGTGTTGCGCAGTTCGGAGTCGACACTATGTTGTACGGTAAGTTTTGACATCTCGCCCAGCTGTCAATATCCAATTCTAACAGGCATACAGGATTTTCCACTTTTTTGCCGACCATCATTAGAGATCTTGGTGACTGGACAGTCGCAGAGACACAGCTTCTCACTGTACCATGCTATTTCCTTGGCGCAGCGGCATACATGTCCACAGCCTTCCTCTCGGACAAGCTGCAGCGCCGTGGACTCTTCTGTGTCATCTTTGGTATCATCAGCTGTGTTGGATATGCTATTCTTTTGGCGGATGTTTCTTCTGGTGCGCACTACTTTGGCTGCTTTCTCGTAGCTGGAGGTTTGTACGTGGTTGTAGGCTTGCCGTTGGCTTGGGTACGTTGGGATAATGAATTTGCGATGGTACCGTCTGACTGACTTGAATAGTTGCCCACGAACTCACCTCGTTATGGAAAGCGTACTACGGGCACGGGCATGCAGCTGACATGGGGTAATGCTGCAGGTATCATGTCTGCGTTCATCTAGTAAGTGTCCTTATCCAACAATTGATTGAACTCTACTGACCATGGCACAGTCCTGCTTCGGATAGACCTCGATACATCACGGGTCACGCTGTGACGCTCAGCATGGTAGCGTTGGGTACTGCCATCTACGGATACATGTGGTGGTGGTACCGACGTGAGAACGAGAGGCGACAAGCAGGCCACATTGATGAGAAGCATCAAGGGATGGGAGAGGATGAGCTGGCTGAGCTTGGCGATGAAAGCCCCCGTTATAGATTTACCATCTAGTCAAAAAGCCGATATGGCATGAAGAGAAGGATGACCATTAAGTTTATGAGGGATGAAATCAAGGCATAGAGGGAAAAGAATGGGAAGAGTTGAAAAGCAACCATTGGATTATAATATAGACATTTACATGGAATCAAGTTTCTTTTAACATGAAGTAGAATTGCGGTTGGGATAGAGCAGAGCCTCACGAGCGTACGTTGTATTCCTCACTTTGGTGACCAATAGAGTTTGCTACTAAGCTAGTGGCTTCAGATACATCTTTAGAGCCTCGTTGCCGGGGTGTCTCACAATAGGTAGACACCAAAGGAGCAACGCAATGATGTATGAGATTCACATTAGGAAATAACAATGATGCAGTATACAGCCACGCACAATACCGGCCCCTTCTTTTGACTTTGGTATGATATGTTGATATGGTACAAGAACAAAGTAGAAATTGGGAAGCGTGATTTTGTTAGGGGTTGGGGCTGCCTGCGTACGTCAGCTGGTGGTGTGGTGTTGTGTTGCTTTACTGTGTAATGGAGCCAGCGCGTGCATATGAAATACGAGGTTCAGGCGGTGATGAAAGGGTTGTCCAAATTGGACAAAACAATAACAACATCACTCGAGTAACAGATCAATAAATTTATACCTAGTTATATGAGTTCCTCTACAATAGTAGCAGTCGGCCTATCTTGCAGAACTAAAGTGATAAAGAAGGGTCTATTGGACTGATCAACCTAAACACCCCCATCATGGACCATGTTAGCCATTCTTACCATAACTACCATCAAAATTAAAAATAAGATAGCTACCAATCCGATTGCCACTGTCATCCTATTGTCCCGAGGGATGCATTGTAGCATCGGACAGAACGATAACCAGAAACTGTCCATACCAAGTACCCCGGGATAGATCGCTGTGGACCATTACTAGCGCACCCTGTGATTTCCAAATTTAGGTGCATAATTCCTTAGCGTGAAAAAAAGGCTTAACCTGCCGACTGTTGTTCCCTTGTTCCCCCCTAGTTTCTCAACGCTTACGGGTCTTCCATCTTCTTTCTGCATCTCTAACTAATTTCCTCTTGGCTATTCATCACTCTCGTTCTTGGTTCTGTCAGTGTTACCAACTTTGTCTACCGACTCTCGCTTGTATTCTCTTTGACAGTTGGAATTCACCTGACTTTTGTTCCTTCTTCGGTCGTTGTCTTGGTGATCTCCCCTATTCTGTTTACTGATCGACTCTGCAACAACTATTTGACACTCCGCTTCTCAAGTCTACTACCGACATCATGCGTTTCTCCAAGCACGTCCTTCCTCTCGCTATGCTCCTGACCGGCGCCATTGCCGCATCAGACGAGGAGTCTACCACCGCTGTCGAAAAGTCCAAGGCTACCGACGACAAGGCCGCAAAGACAACCGCCGACGAATCCAATACCGCAGACGCGACAGGGGAAGCCACGGCGACTGCCACTGCCACCGGAAAGAACGACAAGGACTCCAAGAGCGACAAGTCCGATACTGAGACCAACACCAACACTAGAGAGAAGGAGGCCGCTTCCAAGACGGCTACTGAGAAGGGCAACGGACCTACAATCACTTGGGACCCTCCTTCACCCAAGACTACCGTTCCCGACATCAACGCCGGTCCTCCTTCACCCATGACCCCTGGTGTTGTGGTTCTATCTCTGGTTTTCGGCATTACATCTATCGGCATGGCACTCCTATAAGAACATCCGTGCTCACGGGGTCATTGCAGCTTCACTCCTGTGCGGCAGCAAAGCCCCTATTCTACGCAAGCGTTTTTGGATTATTGAACTGTTTTCTTCATCTTATTTCACACGATTGTGGCGCTATATGGAATGGCAATGGTGATTAAATGACTTGGGACCTGTAATCAGTTGCGCGCGTTCTATTTGTGGCGCTCAGACAATCCTTTGTCTCGGACAAGAAAAA